GCTTTCCAGGGGTAAAAATCCCTCCAATAAAAAACAAAAAATATTTGGTCACTCAGTCCACGATTGTTTGTGGAACACTACTGAGCGCAATTGGCTGACGCATTTCGCCCACCGCATACATGTTACAATATATTCTGTGAAGCACTTTGAGACGTCTCAACGATGTGATAAGCGGTATATCAAATGCAAGGATTATTATTAATATAATCTGATTCATATAATTTTGTGGGGGAATTAATAATTACACTTAGCTGGAAATTCTGGCTTAGAAGACTGGATCTCTGGTCCCATTGGTGCAGCCATCCAGGGGCTCAGTGTATGTCAGGTCTGTGTGTACACTAGGCCACTGCTGGACTTTGAGGCAGCAAAAAACAAGACCGATGGACAGGGAGCAACGTTGCCATATCAGTTGAGTTCATATCCCAGAGTTCATGCTCACCCAGTTTTGTGATCTGGCCAGTAACGTTGTGGCCACTGTGACATGTGAGTGGCTCAGTTTCCAGAAACAGTGCAAAAAAGGGCTGATCCTCAGTATGAAAGCAATAAACTGTGAAGAATGACTGGATAAACTAGGGCTCCTTCAGCCTCACAAGGACCTTATAGAGGTATAAGATGCTGGCTGAGATAGAGCGAGTAACCCCTAAACCATACTTTCAGACACACTAAGACCAGGACAAGTGGACACAGGTTTAAGGTTGGGCATGTTTACAGCAGACTTGATGACGGGAAATATTTCTTTACACAGAGGGTGATTAATAGCTGAAACATGTTATACAATAAAATAAACTGTCAGGGCCAATACAGGAATTACTGGGGTTTACTATCACACAGCTCAGACATCGGTGGAGTCACACCCAGTAATCATTTATACATCCAGGCGAGGGTGAGGCAAGAAAACTAAAGAGGAAAAAGCAATGTAAAACTTTCCCAAAGACACCAGTCACATTACAGACACTGCCTTTACCATTCAGAAATCATTTTACCTAAAAACAGAACCCATTTAAACGGAGAGGAGCTCTTCAATCTCTCTTTTCATGGCCTCATTCTTTAACCCTCCACTCTGCGTGCCCTGACGCACGCTGAGGCACAGTTCCACACACCGAGTGCCCTCCAGTAACTCAACAACCAACAATTTGCATTATATATAATGCCTTTCACACGGGGTAGTATCTTGGTGTGCTTACTCTTCTCCACAGCACACAGCACACTCTCCACGACACTTGACGCCCTTGCACCCCTCACCTCACGAACTGGCTCCAATTCCAGATCCTCACCCTTGTCCACCGGCCACCTCTGCGCACTAAAGGGCCAGGTGCGGGCTGCTGAATGCACCTGGCTCAAATTCGGCCCAACGGTCCACCGCATCAAAAGCTCAAAACCTACCACTCCGCTCTCGCCTCGGCCAAACTGTTCTTCTATTCCAGGTTAATCCTGGAGGTGAGGAGCAACCCCAGGCTCCTGTTCTCTACCACCAACTGGCTCCTCCGCCTCCCCACTACGCCTCGCAGATTCTTTCCTCTGACTCTCACTGTGAAAAAATGCACTTCCAGTTACAATTTATCACAATGATTGGCTTGCCAGCATCAGCCTCCACGACTGCACACTCAACCTCACTAAGCCAGTCAGGAACCTGGGTATCTTGTTCGACCCCGAACTCTCCTTTCTCCCCCACATCCGTGCCATGACCGGCACTGCCTACCACCACCTCCGCAACATTGCCAGACTGTGCCACTGCCTCACCCCTCAGGCCGCCGAAACCCTCACCCATGCATTCATCACATCAAGGCTCGACTACGGGAACTCCCTCCTCATCGGCCTTCCCAACTCTTCCCTTCACAAGCTGCAGATCATCCAAAACTCTGCAGCTCGTGTACTCTCGTGCACCAGGCTCCACGACCCTATCACTCCCACCCTCGCATGATTCCACTGGCTCCCTATCCCCCAGAATATCGAGTTGAAGATCCTCGTCCTCACTTTTAAGGCCATCCATGGCCTTGCCCCCTCCTACCTCTCTGACCTGCTGACTCCCTACCAACCTGCCTCCTTCAAGGCCGGTCTCAAGAACTTTCTCTTTGATCGTGCCTTTTGTTGCCCTCCCATCTCTCTGCCTTCCCTCACCCCTACACCACCCCTCCCCCATGCTCGGGCCCTGACACCTGACTGTTCAGCGCTTTGGGACACCCTCCCGACGTAAAAGGCGCTCTATAAATGTAATTTTGTTGTTGTTAACTAATCCAAATGGCCATCTTATCACAACATCAAGCTGTTTATTTAAATGAGCCCATGTCCCTGGCCTCAACCACCCTTTCTTGGCAACATGTTATAATAAACAATAATCCTTGTATTTTGATATAGCGCCTTATCACGTAGTTCACGTGAAGTCAAGTGTATATTTTGTGGGCAAAACGCGGCAGACAATTGCACACCTCACAAACAGTCATGGATTGAGTGACCACATTATTATTATCATTTTTTTGAAGGGAATATTATCTTCGGAAAGTGATCTACCAATCAACTAACAACTGGGTTTCTACTTACTGCTTAGGAAATAGAGGCGTGTGGAGTAAGGAAACTTGCCTAAGATTTCACTCTACCCAGGAATCCAACCCGGATCCTCTCATTTGAGAAGCGAGTTCTCTAACCAATACACTGCAGGACTCCACAATTACCCTCTGGTTGCAGAGAGAGAGAGCACGTTGTTGGTAACTTTGACATGATCTCTGTGGTGTGGGCAGAGCAGAACCTGGACTGGAGGGGCTTGAACAAGGAGTGGGAGGGGTTGTAGTGGGGAAGGTGGGAGGAGAGTTGAGTGGAAACAACACATTCCATGATTTTGGATAAAGGTAGGTTAGAGATGTGTTGGCAGTTGGGGAGTTTGCTAGGATTGAAGGTAACTTTTATTTTAGGGTGATGACCGTGGTTTTGAAGGGGAAGCAGAAGGTGGAATCCGGTAACTTAGTAGTTGGAGCATTTGCCTCACAAACGAGAGGACCTGGATTTGTTTCCTGGGCAGGGCGTAAAGTTAGCCAAGTTTCCTTACTCACACACCTCTGTTTACCTAGCAGTAGGTAGAAACCCGGGTTGTTAGTCGATTAGCAGGTCGCTTTTCCGGGGGTAATATCCCTCAAAAAAATTTATTATTTTCTCACTCAATCCATGGACTGTTTGTGGGACATTGTTATGTGCAATTGGCTGCTGCGTTTCAGCCACAAAAATTACAGTCAATTCACTTTACAGTATATTCTGTGAAGTGTTTTGAGACGTTTCAAAGACATGATAAAGTGCTATATCAAATGCAAGGATTATTACTATGAAGAAGAAATACTTCCAGGTGTCTGTCCTAAACCTGTGACCTCCTATTCTGCTGCTTTGCATATCTGAAAATATTTCTGGGTGAACTTTCTATCACCCTTCAGCATCTTATTTTCCTCTATAAGGTCCCCTCGGAGACATCTCTTTTCAAGCCTCTCATCCTATCTAGTCATTTGTGTCTTGCATTGTGGGGAAATCAATGTAAATCCTCAGCTGATTTGGCAAAATTGTCTTCACCAGTCCTATCATATCCATGTCCTATACATGTGCCTCCTTTTTTTATTTTTAAACTTGGCTTCTGAAATCAAACACCAACGAAATTCAGAATGTATTAGAAAATGTCGAGTGTCATCACACTCAGAGAGACTAAGGCCCTTGGTTTTACCTAAGTTCTCAGCAGAGGTAGCCCAGCAGAGGTAGTAATACAGTCACTGACCCACTCTCTCCCAAGGCAATCATGCCCTGACCAAAACTAAAATAACTTACATTTTTATATCACCTATAATGTGAAAACATCTCAAACCACCTCATAGTTCCTTATAGGTAATACAGCAGCCATTTTGTGCACAGAAAGTTTCCACAAACAGTCATGAGATGAATGACGTATTAACCTGGAGGCTTGTTGGCCAGGACACCAGGAAAATCTCCCTTTTCGTTTTGAATAGTGATGTTTTGAATCTTTAACATCTATCTGAAGGACCGTGGATTAATATCTCACCTGAAGGACATCACCTCCAACACAGTGTCAACCTGGTCTATGAAACTAACATCCCACTGTGGAGCTTGAACCATGCTGCAAGCGTGCCATCAAATGAGCCATACGATTGTTCCCAGGAAGGGAGGGATGGAGAGCACCTTATGCTCACACACACATATAGTGTTGCGTGTGCAGTTGACCTCACACATTGCCACACACTGGATGGCAGATTGAGTGATGGTAATACAAGACAAGGCATGGGGCGATTGTGCACAGAAAGAGGAAGCATGATGTGTCCATCGAAAGGGACAGACACAGTTACGCTTTTTCAGTCAATGTAGAAAAGAAAGTGAGAGGTTGTCCCGAGATCAGCTGCCTGTGTGCTTTAGGGCTTTGCCACTTGATTGCTTGGCATAACTGTTTGGGAAATAGTTTGTAGCTGTGCTTCCCCTCTGACTGTGATGCCTGTCATAACACCTCAACAAGCCAGGCTCAAACAGTTTAGGAAGCTGGAGGCCCAGAGACCCGAATTGCAGGAAACATTCTTGGTCATGGAAACACCTCTTCCTGGATGTTCTTGTTGAGAATATCGCTGGACTCCACGGTCGAGGCCAGGCACCACGGCATAATCTGCTGCCACTCGGAGGTGGTGACATAGCGAAATCGGGGGGGGGGGGGGGGAGAGAGGGAAACAATTTGTAAAAAGGATTCACAATAAAACAAGCCTGAAATACCTACCCCCACACACAAGTTTTCTTCTGTTAATACTTGGCTTCAGTGGCTCTGTAATACTTAGGTTAATTTCCTTTTTAAACTCACACATACTTGTATCAGCATGACCTTGCGATCTCCCAGCTCTCAAATTACCTGAGGGGAACCACTCCAGTCAATCCTAATCACGTTCCTTTGTGCAGAATTAGTCCAAGTGTAACATGGTGACTGACAGTGAGAGAAGTGGCACCAATGTTTTGCTGGTGGTCTGTCCATGGTTCTGAATATTCTTTTGCTTTGCTGGTTTAAGATTATTCGTTGTTTGTGTTGGTCGAGTAGAAGGACTTTTCAGTTGCTTTTGATGTGCCCATTTGCCATGGCCTCGGGGGAACCAGCAGGCGCCAATCCCGGCTCCGCATTCCCGTCGAAACGCAGCCGCAGGGTATTCCGGATGACCAGCTTCTCCATGATGAAGGAGGCACAGAACCAGGGGACAGCATACTCCAGTGTGATCAATCCCATGAAGTCAAAATCAAACTGAGAATAATCCCAGGGGCAGGCGTTGAACTGTCGCAAAACGTACCCAGTGGTGAATTCCCACATATAGGTCCAGATGGTGTAGATCAAACAGCGCAGTAGGATCCCACACTTGCCCTTGAGGTAGAGGTACATTCTTTCTACAATCAGCATGGAAGTCCCGTAGATGAAGAGAGCCCAAACGCTGGTCACCCCTGGGAACTTCCAGTTATAATTTATCACAAACTCCCAGGCTGCTGTAAACATTACCTCACAGAAATAGCCGTGGATGGCATAGAGGTACCAGCGAGAAAGAGCAGTCAGCGGTTCTGCTGTGGCCATTGTCACTCGTAATCAATGGAGAGAAGGGGGAATAAAAGAGAGAGAGAGAGAGAGAGAGAGGGAGAAGCTGCAAAGACAAAACATTCATTACATCCAGTTACTCAGCAGACGTCACTCAAGTTACAATATTAATCAGCCCTTTGAAAACAGCGTAGAATTAGTCTAAATAGATACCAACCTACTGAGCCTCCTCGCTCATGAGCACTGAGCTCTTCTCAGCCATTGCAAGCACAATGCTTCTGTGTCAAGCCAGAGATATAGTGGAAAAGCACTTAGCAGGAGCAGAATGCGGGAAATACCACAGCTCAGAGTTGAATGGGGACCAGAGTTAAAAGCTTTAATGGAGCATCCCTGCAGCTCAATACTCTTACAAGGCTGTAGACAATTGGAGGCATGAAAGGAAGCGCACAGCAGCAGGATCCGACTGCTACATGGATTTTAACCTTCAGTCTGCCAGAGCTGCACGTCAAGCACAGCACTGCTGGGGCTTTCAAGCAATCACACTGCAGCTTCGTGACGTCAGCCAGTTCGCAAGATCAAAGGTTGGGTGTTGAATTAAGGCTAGAATGTCTGTGAAACATACACAAATATCTGGATGTGTTCTGTACACATATGTAGTGATGTAGACAGATACACACATATATAGATACAATAATAATTCTCGCATTTGATATAGCGCCTTATCACATCGTTCAGACGTCTCAAAGAGCTTTACAGAATATACTGTAAAGTGCACTGACTGCGTATTTTGTGGGCGAAATGCGGCAACCAATGTGCAGAGCCATTCCCACAAACAGAGTGACCAATTTTTTTTGAGGGATTATTACCCCCGGAAAGCGACCTGCAATTGGACTAACTATACACATGCATACATTGTACACACGTAAATGCATATTATATGTTTCACATACACAAACATTTGGGTGCATAAATGTCATACACGAATACACGTATATTATATATGTGTGTGTTTATAATATACAACTTGCATTTTATAGCGCCCTTCATGTGGGGAAGCATCCCGAAGCGCTTTATATATACACACACACAAAAAAAAAATCCATATACTCACTTAGACCATGCACATACAAATGTAGCCATGGACTGCATTGTCCATTCCATCACCCCAGAGTGGATGCTCTCTCCTGGCACAGATAGCTTTGAAGAGCTGCTCAAAGGCATGTGTGAGAGCAGCCAGCACCACATCTCCCCCAATCCCTCAGCTGAGTTACTGACCTCAATAAGGGCTACACATAGCCTCCACACTCTGGGCAGATGAGGGAAAAATCAGCTGAGGTTCCCACTCCTGGTTGCTATGAAGAGCATCTCCCGCCACTCCCTTTGCTGAAAGGGGCATTGCCATGTGGACATTGGGTGAGGACAGGGTTGTGCTCAATGTGATGTTCCTCATGATCATGAGGTCCTGACCCTCGCCTGCTGATACTCACCATCACGTATGAACAATGGCTTTCTTGAGCAACTTATCAGCCAGTGCTTGTGAAGCTGTACCCCAGTAAGAGAGCCTTGCATTTAAAGTAGTGCATTATCATATTGTTGAGACATCTCAAAGGGTTTCACAGGATATGCCGTTAAGTGATGTTACAGACTATTTGGCTCATGACGTTAATGATGGTATTTTCTGCACATCTAATCTGATCCTACTTTCCTGCTGACCCACACCCTTTAATATTCTTCCTCTTCAAGCATCTTATCTAATTCCATTTTAGAAGAATTGATGGAATCTGATTCCACTATGGTTTGCAGCAGAAAATTCTACATTCCAAACATCTAACCCGTAGCAAGATTTCTTAACCCTTTAATTTTGTGATTAACTTAAATTTATGTGGTCTTGTTGCAGATGTGCTAAACAGTAGATATGTGTCCCATCCATAACCCTTCAAGATCTCCCATCAGTACAACTTAACCTTCTCAGCTCTAGTGAAAACCCCTCAAATTCTCTCTTCATTGGTTAGCGCCAGATAATAATAATCCTTGCACTTGATATAGCGCCTTATTACGTCTTCTAGACATCTCAAAGGCTTCACATAATATACTGTAAAGTGAATTGACTGTATATTTTGTGGGCGAAACACGGTACATTGCGCACAGCAGCGTCCACCTGAGCTACAAGACTGCACGACATGGGTGGATTTACTAACTGTTCCCAAATCACCTGCTTTAAACCATAACAACTTGCTAAGTACAGCACCGGTGGCGGCTGGTGAGCTTTTTGGCAGGTAAGGCGATCTATAAGCTTGCCAATCGAAGCTACCTTGTTACCACGGCAATGAGCCCTCCGTATATGCACCGTGTCTGGCACTGCTTCCATGCTGGTCTCACCAAATTTTCTCAGCGTCCATTCACTGATCTCACAGTGTTCGCTGCGAGACATGAAAATTCTTGGTGAGGCAGTGCCTCATTTGCCAAGTCACCATTAATGCACCCAAGGGGCACAGTCATAACAAGATGGCGGAGCTTAACATCAAGCTGGAGAGAGGAAAGGTGACCATAAGCACGGTCGAAGTCTTCAGGTTTGATCCAAAAATGGGCAAGGAGAGGGCAAGGCGGAGGGATTGAGGCAGAGTGTTCCAGAGTATAGTGGCTGAATGTACGGCCGATGGTGGAATGGACGGGATGAGTGACATGTGAAAGGGACCCAGAAACAGATACCCCCGAACCAATGTAATAATAATAGGAATAATAATTCTTGCATTTGACACAGCGCTGTATCACGTTGTTGAGAGTCTCAAAGCGTTTCACAGAATATATTGTGAAGTGGATTGACCGTGGATTTTGTGGGCAAAATGCAGCAGCCCATTCTACACAGAGGTGTCCCACAAACAGTCGTGGATTGAGCGACCAAATTATTACAATTTTTAAAATTTATTTTTGTTTTGAAAGGATTATTACGCCCAGAAAAGTGATACATCAATCGACTAACAACCGAGTTCCTACTTACAGCTAGGTAAACAGAGCCTTATGGAGTAAGGAAACTTGCCCAATGTTTCGCCCTGCCCGGGAATCGAACTTATGTCCTCTAAGTTCCCAATCTGATAATGAATGTATAAGGTATTGCAAGAACTTGTTGATTATTCAAACAATTATTGAATATAAAATTGTTCAGTTTTCATTTCCCATTTGTCCCACACTATAATAATAATAATCCTTGCATTTGATATAGCGCTTTTCATGTCAGGAGGACATCCCAAAGCGCTTCACAGAACACACTGTAAAGTGAATTGACTGTATATTTGTGGGCGAACGCGGCAGCCAATTGCGCACAGCAATGTCCCACAAAGAGTCGTAGAATGAAAATGACCAATTTATTATTGTTTTTGGTTTTGGAGGGATTATTATACTAGCAATGGCAGAAATACAGCCCATCATCTGGCTAGATGGAAACACAGGGACCATACCCAAAGGGTTAATCAGTGATACATCACCATGATACCACACAATAAGAATTAGGAGATGGGCAAGACTGCCGTGTTACCTTGGGGTCAGTAACAATGTGTTCAAAGTACAAACCTGGTTAGATTGCATTGTTGATCACGCCATCCTTCTCCACACGTCTCCTCTCAGCTCCAACTTCATGATTCTGTCCTCTCCTGGTTTCATTCTTACGAATCCTAACATCTCTACTTTGTCTTTGAGAGCCTTATTTGTGCATTCATCTGGTCCAGGCTAGACTACGCCAACTACCTGCTCACCAAACGTCACCTCTTTCCTTCACAAGTAGATTATCCAGAATTCTGCAGCTCATGTCCTGTCCTGCACTAGACTGCGTGAGCCTATCACCTGTTCCCCAATCTTCACCTGTTTCCCCAACCCCCAGTGGATCAAGTTCAAGATCCTCGACCTAACCTTTAAATCCCACCTTGGTCTTGTCTCATCCTACCACTGTGACCTACTCAAACCCAACCAACCCAGCCGATCACATTTCACATCTTACCTACTCACCCATTGAAAGTCGTACTTTCAGCATCTACTGCTACTCTCTGGCATTCCATCCCCACAACTCGCCTCTTCCCTCCACCTCCTTCGGGGTCTGTCTCAAGACGTTCCTCTGTGACCACACATTTGGTCATCTCCCCCCCCCACCCCTCAGCCTGGGTGCAAATCCTGGACTGACCAGCGCCTTGGGACGTCCTTCCAACCCGAAAGGTGCTATATATATTGTAGTCTCAAAATTCCTTTCTTGGAACAATAGATATTCTTTAAATAACTTCTTTTGCATCCGTTCTATTTACCAAATTGACTACTTTCCCACAGTGCTTGCAATGTTGAATCTCATCCAATATTCTGAGGTCCTCATTTCATTAAATTGCACACCTGCGACTTCCTGCTTCCAGCGGGGATCAAAGATTGGATCTAGCCAAAGTGTTAATGAGGAAAAGAAGGGGGTGAGATAAACAGTAGGCAAACTCCCATCTGGTAACTCTTGTATAATTAATCTTTGTGCATCAAGGAAATACCTAAATGTGGAAATTTGTTTTTGAAATGATTCGTCCATTTTTTCCCCCTCTTCTTCACTCCTGGAGGCAGTGGATTACCTGGGAAAAACTCAAGAGGTAATAGTTCTTCTGTTTCCTCACCTAAATGGCAATTTTTCACATGGCCAAAGCGTAGACAGAGCATGGCAGAAACATCACAGTCAACCCTAGCCTACATCTACCCTGCATAAGGGATTGATGATTCATGTGTTGGTTGTACATTTTATAAACTGTATAACCAACATTTCCTCAGGATCTCAAACGCTTACTTGATCAAAGGTCCACTAGAAAACAGCAATCAACTTGTCCAAAAGTCAGCCTTCTCCACACTGAAGTCATTCTGCAGATTGGTCACATCCTCAATAAATCCAACCCCCCTGAAACAAAAGTCTCAGGAATTCACATCTGCTGTGGCCAGTCCTCGATGGGGTTGGAAGAGTTGTCTGCATCATATTTCACCTAGCATGTAGAATCCTTTCTAATGCCTCAAATACATATTTTGCCTTGGATTAAAAGGTAGAGGGAAGCTTCCTTGATGGTCTAATGGTGTAGTTCTAAATTCTACATACAAGATTACCAGTGTCAGTGTTGTTCATCACCTGAGGAGGCAATAATGATCATGCAATGAAGCTCAGCAACTCCAGATTATAAACAAGATAGCCAATGCTCCCACTCTGATCCTTGCCTGGTGACCCTGGCTGGAATTTTACAAATGTGTGGACACCTGCAGAGGATTTGGTTACAGTGCTTTCCATGGTCAATCACCCGCAATTTAAGATCACCCACAGTCAATTGAACAAAGAGCTGTGGGATAGTGGGTAGAGGTCACCTTTGGATGGGATGTTACACCAAGATCCCGTCTGCCTCCTCAGGTGGATGTAAATGTTCCCATGACTTTAATTCAAAAAACAGTTCGGTGTCCTGGTTAACAATGGCAGGGAATGTTAACCATCAACGCCTTCTGATCCTTATTTGAGTAAAGCACTGTATAAACTGCTAACTTGTCAAGTCGGCTCCTTGTTCCACGAATCCTTTCAGGAAACACTGCATATTCTGCTTTGGTATAAGTAACTAAAGCATCATATCGTGTCCCTGTCAGTGTGAGCCGCATACTGCTCAGACCCGAGAGACAACCCAGACCTGTTCCTGACACAATCTGTGTCTCTCTGGTTACAAGGCTGAAGGTCTGAATTTGCGTTAGTCTCTCACTAAGACACCAAATGCTCCTTTGAACACCCAGTGGATATTTACCAAGTTACTTTTATGTGGTTTGTTTAAACTGCACCAATGTGTGATGCAGTAACATGCAATCGTGTTTGTGAGTATGTGTACTCACTCTGTGAATATTTACTCACTGTGTGTATCTGAAATGGGACCCATGGACACCTCCTGATCTCACATATTCCCCATTCTTTGCTTTCACATAGTCACCGCTCCCCATACGCCTGTCACCCCTTCATTTGCACATTCCTGCTCTTCACTCCACTCATGTACACAGACACAAACTCACCTACGGTACCAACAAAACCACTTCTCTTGAAGAGCAAGCCATGTCCAACTCGATCAGGAAGTTTGCAGACGTTGTGACCTGTGAAAAACGCAAGTACAGAGACGCAGAGGAGGCAGAGGTTTAACATAAAAGTCCCTTTACTCAGAAACAGGAAATTCTTTGCTCTTCATTTACTTGTGTTCAAACCAAACCTTCCAAAGTAAAAAAAAATGTTGTCGACCAAGTGAACGAGACACCGACACTCAGATGCTGGTAGATGCCACGTTGTGAGGCTCTGTCAAACCTTCGGGGTCATTTACGGGGCAGCCTAGTTGATATTGGATATGGAGATGGTGGTCATGGAACACTGGGATGTGGGTTCCAGAATCCCTCTACACTGACTTCCAGTCCCAAGCTTTCTGGGAAGCTTTTCCTAAGGGACCAGCAATGTTTGCAGTGGGAGGAAGCATGGTTACTGCATTGTCGCACATGAGTTAATGCAGATCTGCCCTGCCTGTCAACACTGGAGGTCATGTGTGCCAGGGGAAGTTCAGAAAAAAGAGAAAGAAACATTTCAGCAAGCTATGGGGTTTGCATACCTTCATAAAAACATTTAAAAGACCTATTTGTTGCTCTCTGCGCGCATTGAAACATCACTGATCCAGGCAAATAGAAATTAGAAATAGGAGCACAACTCGCCCTTGACCTCCACCTTCATGGGATTTCGTGAACTGGATATTGTTGCATTAATTGCTAGTTCCGGTTTGTGAATATCGGAATCCGTTTGATTTGCGAGATCCGTAAAACGGCTAATTGGGATTCATGACAGTCGACAAAGCCCAGAAAAATTCCTGCAAATTTGAACTTGTCAGAAGAGATTAGGATTTTTTTATCCTCTGACCAAGGAGATATCAGTCTTTGAGCCACTCCCAAGCACCTCCTGGGAGCCAGTCTCATAGCAACTGTAGAGTCATGTGGATGGGAACTGCCATCCCCCAACATGGCTGCCTTAGTAAAACTATCAGGAACAGGAACCCCAGCTGGTGCCTCCTCCCAAACACAATCTTTAACAGTTCTTCAGTCCTTGATGCGCATAATCATACCGAGTGCTGCCGATTCCTGGGCTGCCCTTACAATGGACCGGAAAGGTTTGACCTGCCGATTTACATTTTTTTCTCAAAGCATCAGAGCATCTGCCAGCACTTAATCAGAACCCACACGGTCTCACCTTTAGCACTCTGAACTGCCACGGGCTGAAAACACACAATTCGTTTTTTTTTGCTTAATAAGTTAAATCTGGGCTTTCCGTCTGATCAGAGAAGCCCCAATGAGCTAAGGGAAGGATCGACTATCGGAACGCATCACTTGCTTGCTGAATCGGAAGCTGGTGCAAGGTACGTGAATTTGGTTCGTTACAAAGATGGAGGCTGCTTCGAATTATTCTAAAGTTTTAAAAAGGAAACAAAAAAAATCTTCATCAATGGGTTAAAGTCAACACTGTCAGTATTAAATTGGCCCCAAGTGTGTTGTACAGATTCTCCGTCGAGGTGGCCCCCGTCCCCCCCGTCTCTCTCCTCTGTTAATCTTCTATGACAATTGGCTGGTCGTTGGTTGGCTGCCGTGAGGCTTGTGCGGGGTTAGCATGGCGTTGTTCAATGCTGATCGGCTCATGGGGCTGCCTGGCACCTCGCCTCCTCTCAAAGGAAGAAAGTAACTTGCGAATCTTCCTGGAAAACAGGGGTGCGAATCGTTTGTACACAGTTTGAGCAGAAACTAATAAGGTCAAAACATATCATTTTACACAAAATACAGCAAACTGCTGATACCTCGACTGTGGCCTAACTTGTCATGACCACTTAAGGCATCATGCTGTCAATAACACGACCACACTTATTTATGTATTTATACATATGTATAAATCATCACTCTGATAACTGAGCCCTTTTCCCTTGGAGTGATGAGGTTATGAGTTATCAGTTTACTATGCTCTCATAGTACCAATACTGCACGCATAATAATCACTTTCATTATAACCCACCCACTGAGTGTTTTGATTATGTGAATTTATTTTTTTCACGAGATTATTCGTGGCTGCTCTCCGAGGGTCAAATCCCCACTGCCATTGATTGCGCTTCAAGGAGGCTTTTACTCATCTGCGAGCCTTGAGACTGAGTGTTGGCAGCATGTTTGACCACAGGGGGCATCACAACCAAGCCCAATCTTATTTTACCTGGTTCCTAAACATACGCAGCCTCCAGGACACGACACTGGTGATCAAGAACGAGAAACCTGGTTGTTTCGCTCTCTCTAGCTCAAGGGCACTAAGGGCAATAAACACTCAGCACAGATCAGGGATCATACATATAAGCCTAAGGTGGCTGATTACAGAAGGCCTAGAGATACCACTGGACTCAGCACCCTGGATGAGAGAGTAGGTACGTCTGTGCAGATTCCCTGTCCTTATTTTCTCTGCACCAATGTTTTCCTCAAACACTTGTTGTCTGTTTTGATGATTCAATGTTTCCGTCAAATCCAGAGATGGACCTGTGGAAGATCAGTTAAAACAAAGATCCCACCTCACTACAACGCAACATCACATTGGACAATAGTTTGGACGCAGGAACTCTCGTCTTACAGGAGGAGCAGTAATGAGCTCCTTCCCCCCCCACCACTGTCATCATCTTCTCCAAAATACCGACAGTATCTTCTAAAGATAAATCCTTGGAAGAGGAAATGGAATCGGACTGGAGACCTGAGGGAGTTTTATCAATGGACGGAAGATATAAATCTTCCGGAACAATGGAGAACTAATGATGAAGACTGTGGATAGAGAAGATTGTACATCGGTTTTGTTACTTTGTCATTAAATATTATTTACTTATACCATTTGATAAATAATGATCTATCACAGAATAAAAAGAACAAGAGGATGAATTGGTTTAGCTCATAATGTTGAAGCGATTTTGAGTCTCTTCTGTTGGGGGGCACCAGGCTTTACTTTGTGATTGCTCTGATGATCTTTATTGTGTTATATCAAAACCCAAGCACATGTTTCATATCAATATTTCTCTGTATTCCACCACAATATTTTGTCACTTTCTTTAGTAAACTATCTTCACTGCAGTTGCCCCAGGCCTTGCTATTTTGGCTCCAAAAGCTGCACCTTTCAATGTTACACATTGCTTCCCCAAGCCCCACCATCCAACCACACAAACGTGGCAGCTTTTCCTTTGGCAGGCCTCGATTCAGGTTAGAACTTAAGAATATAAGAAATAGGAGCAGTAGTAGGCCATTTGGCCCCTCAAGCCTGTCCCGCCATTTAATAAGATCATGGCTATCTTCTAACCTAATTCCATTTACATGCTCTATCCCCTTAATCCCTTTAGTCTTTAAAAATCTCTCGATCTCAGTCTTGAATACGTTCAATGAGAATCTGAAGTGGTAATGTTTGAACCGTGATGGGTCTGAACAGTGTTACAAGTGGCTACACATTAAACAGCAGTTATTGTTCAATTGACCAACTAGTGACTAATCTCTTTGGGGAAGGTAAGCAAGGTTTCTACGGAGCTGAGCTGGCTTCATGGTGACGTGGTTGGCAATGGAATGTTGTGATCAAGTCAACCCAGGCTGGTGGCCTCAGTCGTCCGGTTTCTGGGCTAAGTGGTTCTGCAGGAATCCAGCCAGTCTGGCTTGTTGGCAAGACTTGAAGCGGCAAACCAGTCATTGAGGGCAGGGATTGTTCCCACACAATCCTCGTTAACTCTGAAAGCCAAAGGCCTTCCTTAGGGATAGCATGTTTCTAGCTGGAAAAGCAGCAGGAACTTGCCAGGCAGTGCTCTCAATGACAAGATTTGCAGTTTTAGCTGCTTAAACTCCATTAGGTTCCCCAACTCACAGTCTTAAGCCTTTATCTTCCTGGACCAAATACTCTCTGGAATTAGATAAACAGCGTCCTACCCAGAGGCAAGAGTGAGCCAGGCTGACACCTCGTACTGCTTCAAAATACACAGGTCAGTCCCCAAGAATGAAAGTTGATACATAAACACAAAGGAGCAAGTTATGCAGTACACAGCAGCTGCACAGTCAGCAGGTTACTTAAAGTGGTCGGATGTTGTCCCCTTTCTCCCTGAGGTTACAGGTTGAAGAGCAACAACCATCATTTTGGATGTTGTTATTATTTTGCTTGACCCTCAACGAGTCAATATCAGTGGGTGTGACGACGACACTGACGATTAGCTACTTTGCTTCGATTCTCCTGACATCACACACAAAGTCAGTGTCACACAGATAGTTTCTTTATCAACTCAACACAGTGACAATAAGCCTTTTAAGCTCTCTTTAACATCCAGCATTGAACAACTACCTTGAGCTCATCCATTAATTGCAACATTCTGGAGAGTACACAACCCAAAGAATCCCCAACATTTAAACCCCCCCACCCCACCCCACATGTACAACGTATCACAAAATAACTCAGCAGTCACTGTAACCTAAGCGCATTCAAGTTATTGGTCATGTGACTGGTAGCAGGGTATTACAAGGCTGTACCTAGAGTTAATCACTATCTCTACTCTATATAACTAAAAAAGGCAGGTGTTTGAGGTACAAAGATGCAGTGTCTCTGGGAGGAAGGATGGAAGAGAGGGCATGGTAGTGTTGAAGATTTTAGACTCTATATAACGCAGGGTGTCAGAGGCTGTGCAGTCGTGCTGGTGGCCAACCCATGGCCCGTGGGCCAGAAGTGGCCCGCGGGGCTGTGAAGAAGAGGCCCACCAAACATTTGCACTAGTCTGAGTAAGTCCGTGTTCAATCAAGTGTGTTTCCAGTTGTTTCTTGATTGAACATTTCTTGATTTACGGCAAAAATCATAAAATATTCAATCGAGAAAATGTATTTTGTTGGCCGACCAAAACACTGGGCCACCACAGGTCTAGAGCCAGATCCCTCCAGCAGCCTTACCTGGTTTCATCAGTTGCCATGAACAGGACATCGCCGGGGGCATCGATCCAGTTCAGCCTCCTACGCTTCACTGGTGGCATTGAGCCTCCTCGGAGAACTCTGACACTGGCTGGGCAAGACTTCCCATTGATCATGTAGTTTCCAGCTGCTCCCTGCAGGAGGGCACAGGACAATCAGATGGTAACTAAAATAAAGGCCTCGTGCAGATCTCAAACTTCAGTTGGTGCCAAACTCTCCAGCAGCCCATCAATCAGAGACACAAACTAATGGGTGGGCGTTCCAATCACAAAGGAAGACCTCGCCACTGCCATGTGTTGCAAGGTGCTGTGCTCCCACCGCCCACCTACGAGGACAGTCGCTGCATTCCTAAAGGAAAGCAAGGACTGGCTTCTTCTTCCCAGTGACACCGTTACACAGTAACAAAAAGGGTTGGGGGGAGGGGGCAGGGTTGTAAAAGTGGACACCTTTCTTTCTACTGTTGAATCAGTTAGAAGCTGCAATTCCAGTCATACCCGGAGCAGCACCTTATACATGTGATTACGCCCGCTTTACACAGGAGAGGACACTGTGTGAGTTTGTTTAAAATGCCTCTTCCTTGCACCCCACTTCTTCCACAGGTGCCAGTCACCTTCTAGTACTTTGTTCAAAAGGCTGTACTTCCTGACATCATGTTGGAAGTCTGCAAGCAGCCACCATTACTAGCCTGAGCCTGTCCTAATCCACATGCATGTATTTTCTTGAAAGGGACACCTGATTATAATCACTATTTCTTTTCCTTTTCATAGCCCAAGGTCAACTGTATCCTCTCTAACTCTGCCTCCCGTCCAACTATCTCTTGGTTAACACTGATTGACTAACAATTGAATCTCAAACCCACCTGGTCTGCAAAATCTCTACAGGAGAAGAGGGGAATTCAGAGATTGAACAAAACATCACAGTATAGTTTTGATGTGAGCAACATTTCCTACATTGAAAATACCTCACCTCAACCTCAGAATCTCCCATGGCCTGTGAACTGAGACTTCCAGTAGCACCAAGGAGGGCTGAAAGGGGCAAAGGTAGTTGTGCAACTCTAGCTCTCAGGTGTTAGGGGTGGTGGACGGAAAAATGACCTTTTTAAATAAACTACATGTATGCATGGAACAATGCATGTGTGTGTGTGTGTGTGGGGCGGGGAATAGCTAAGACTGCTCCTGCCCTCGCCTGATCCCCTCACCCACCTTCGAGCAGGAGTCTCTGCATAATAACCACGAGCAGAGAATCTGGCTAATCTTTGCCCTCTTTAACCCAGAGGTACTGAGAGTGATTGTTCTGTCGCCCTAACTGCAGCCACAGCTGAGGTCAGACAAGAGACAAGCTAGTTTTACTTGTCCAGGAATAAAACCTGCAACCTTCCTATATGGCCCAGCCGGCACAGGTCATAACATGACCCATTATGTTATTGGGGGTATCTCAGACAGTTGTCTCTTGAGGGACAGCCCTTCCACAGAGCTGCTGCAATGAGCAGGTGATGAGCAAATCTAAGTTCTCTGAGACCATTCTCATGCAGTGAGTGCACTAAATTGCTTGTGACTGGTGAAGGATTACTGAACAATTAAACTGAGATGAAAGTCACTGCATGCGAGGACCCTGCAGATTTCCACTTGAATCTGTGGAATACTGGAGGATTTTCTGAATCCGCAGGGAAATGAGTCAGTTATAAACTTCATAAAAACTCTGAGACTCCCATTATCATATCCAGAAAATGTTCGAGCACACAAAAAGCAACTCAGAGTCTTGTGAGCTGCAGCCAAATCCCAACGCAAACTGAGGGCGGGGAGTGAAGGTCGTAACATAAGAGCAAAACAACTGATTCTTGTATCTACAGTCTTCTGAGCAACGTACTCCACATTGTCCCCTTTGTGTGGAGAGGGGAATATGATCGCTGGAGGCTGGTGTGGAGTATAAACACTAACACAGACTAGTTGGGCTGAATAGCCTGTTAAGCATGCCATATCATTTGATGCAAATATTTTCTGATCTTACTTCTAGCCATTTATCTCTAATTCTAAGACAATCTCTCCTTGATTTAGATCCTTCTACCACAATGTCATCCTCTATCTGGGAGTAGAGAAAATAATTGAAAGAAAGATTTAATCTTGTCCACAAACTTGTAGCAGATTCACAGGTCATTGGTCCAAGGTTATAGTGAATAATAATCCTTGCATCTGATATAGCGCCTTATCAAGCCTTCGAGAAGTCTCAAAGCACTTCACAGAATACTGGATATGCAAAGGTTAGACCACAACGCTCACCTACCTCTGTGTTGAGGATGGTTTGAGAGGAGAGAATAACATGGAGAGGAGACATTATATAAACTTAGCTTTATAGCATACCATCAGAGTAGTGGCCTTCGTTGTGATAGCCTCCTGTTACAGCCTTGCACTGTTCTAAACCCCAACCTCCTATTACAGTCTTGCAATACCCTGATAATTTCACTGATAGTTTAAGTCATAAAATAGATACATGATTTTGAGCCACTTCATTTTTCACTGATGTTTCAGGCCACGTGTTAAGTGGTTTAAACTCAAAGACAATTTTTGAGTATCATACAGTGACAGGTCTCTAGTCACTGAAACCTGAAGTTTGTCATCAATGTAACCTGTCACATCATCTCAGAGCGCTGGAGCAACTCATTACAATAACTATAATAATTGATCCCACATCAGGGTTCAAGCTACTTTCACTTTCCAGGATAATCTGCTGTTACTGTTGACCAATCACTGTGTTCTCCCTGAAGGCAATTGCATGTTGAGGACGCTGCCTTGTACTGCTTGGTCTATTTCGTGATTTAAGCTAATGTTGTCTTCGAAACTACCAAAGTAAAGCAGAACCCCGTTCTAACATGTTTCATTATTATGTGTTTGGAGTGTGAACGCTGATATTTACTTACCAAAAAGATAAATAAAAGGGCACAGAGAGCCAGCCGACTCACCTCAAATGGATTTTTGCCCACTGAAAAATGGCTGCCGCCAGCGCCATTTCCTGTGTGCAGGAAGCAAGTACGTACATGTCCACTTACTTCATACATGCGCAGTCTATATCAAAAAGCACTAACCAGTGATCACTCCCCCTTATAGCAACGGTTGGGATTTTATGGACCCCCAACTACCATGTTATAATGAGGCTCTGCTGGAATGTATGTGGTTGACAGTCAGCGTGGCTTTTCAAAGCTCTGCTGATGGAAGGTGACAGCACCTGAGCTCATTGGGAACCGATGGAAAGACTAACAACAAAATCTACAGAGCACTGCAACCGCTAGCAACCACCAGTTTGAAAGAGAGAATAAAGCACAAGGAAGCAATAAAACAGAGACTCCGGACGTTTTATTGAGGTAAATCGTTTGAAGACGTAGAGATATCTGATGCAATTTCATTGGTTCTCCCAAAGATGATTGACAGCTGGGTCCAAATCATACAGAGTGGTTTAACACCATAAAGAGTTGCATATCGTTGCTCTCAATTTGGATATCTTCAGAGTGGCCATGGAGTCATTTTAAATGATTTGTGAAAGTAGAGAGAGCTGAGCAAAAGCCTCCGCTGCTATCCTTCTGTGACAATGCATCACTGCCCCAACGTGGAGGCTTCACAATTTCTCCTTGTTTTAGATCCCTCAGAACACAACCTTCTCAGAAACAAGAATGCTACCAACTGAACTAAGCTGACGTCTTGAATTGAACCCAATTCTTTATTTAGTTGGAAGATTTAAAAACTTTATAGTCAGATTTCAGACAGTAAACAAGGAACCATCTCTATGGATTCAAGATAAACTTGGTTACAGGAGTGCTGCTTCCTATCGAGTGCACTTGATATGTGAGAGAACTCAATAACCATCACGTGTCAGACACAGCAGTGATGGGAGTGAGAAACCGAAAGCAAAACGTCACCATGTCTGAAATCTAAACCCCTTTAGGTTATGATCGCATCATCAACCCTTTGCAATTTGCACGGTCATTTCAGCACCAAAATGAGAAACAAAACATCCTTTAAACAAACGTTTGATTCCCAGGTTGTTATGTGTACAGGAGTGTGTGAGCTTCCCACACATTACAGGTTCTCTCACTTGGTGACATTCTTTACCATGTCAGCGGCACCAATACTGCAACAATTCCCTCAATGGTCTCCTCCCTTACTGCTGCCCCAGCGTCCATTCCTAGAACGTTTCAGGTTGAGTTGGGGTTCAGAGCCTGTCTGGGAACATTCCAGGAGTTGGGATACAGAACCCGTGCTGGAATATTCCAGGAAGAGCCGGTTTATAGAGTCGGTCCCATAATATTCCAGAAAGAGTCAGGGCAGAGCCCATTCCCATTAATGTTCAGGAAGAGTACGGATAGAAAGGCTGATCAGGAGGGGTCAGAATAGAGCGTATCCTGGGATATGTGGGAAGCAGTGGCCACAATGAGTCCATTCTGGGAGACAAGACCCCTGGAAAGGAGCATATCTGCACAATAATGTTGAGAAAGGATGGGATATGGCAGTCACAAGTCGAATCTGGGAGTATCTGCCTCTCCTCTCAGCGCCAGAGGAAGATGTAGGGCGGGAGGTAAATCAGATTACTCACCTCGAGCTTCAAATGCAGATGATCGTCCACTTACCAACAAATGAGGTCCATACATCAAACACAGGAAATCACAGTCCCGTGAAGACTTAAGAGTCACTTTTGTTGACATCACTTACTTGGCACTGGCTCAGGACCAATCGGACGTATGTTATCATTTAAGCTCCGACTACACTTCGTAGAGATTCGTTGTCTTATTGAAGGAGCATATTATACATGCAGCAAGTCACAGGTTATTCACAACCACGTCAAGTTGCGTTCCATCATATAAAAGGTTTTATTTTGAAAGAAAAGTACCTTACCATCGGTCTCCCTTGTCCATGGTTTGTCACACCTGTAGTAGAAAGAAAAATGTATTACTGGAGCCAACACCAAGCTCAACAGTACCAGTGCCACGCTACCCTGCCATATCTCAAAGTAACAGCAGCAAATAGAATATTAAACAAGGCCTTGCCCTGGCTGGACATCCTGGACAACTCGTGATATTCAATGGGGAGCAGTGACTGAACTTCTCTGTAATTCTAAACTTGTAAAAGGAGATATTAGCTCTCCTGAAGGCTTACAGAGTTTATCTGCTGTGGTGTTAAGCCACACAGAGCAGGAATGTACCAAGTTTGATCCACAATCTGCACTGAATTTTCAGATTTTATTTTAGTCAGCTGTTTAGGAGTTTCCAAGCCAGACTCAGAATTCCAATACATTGGACATTCCTGTGTCTGGAATGGAATGTGCACTCACTCCCCTGCGAGGTGCATCCTGCTTACCTGATTCCTAATCAGCAGAGTATTAGGTACAGGTTGGCAAGAGTTGAGGACACCAGAATGTGCACTGGGTATTGCCAGAGTCTAAGCAGCTGAAACCGCATAACTTGCCATAAGTGGGCTCAGCTGGACGAAGGAAAGGTGGGGTTGGGTTGAATCTATGGTGTAGAATCTGCGATGCAGATCTCCTTGGTCTGCCCCTGGACACCCAGGCCCGGATGTTGGCTGAGAAAAAGACACGTGTGGAGAACGGATACTTGGCTGAAGTATCAGATGACAGCTGCTGCAGTCGTGCAGGTTATTTTAACTGAACTCAGGCAGTGATCAGCACAGAGCATTGTACTTCACAGCATCACTGGGAAGGGTGGCAGAGGTCATTTAAGAAACTGGATTCATTAAAGAAACAGCTTTACTCTGTATTGTGAAGGGTCCTATATTACATGGGTCTTGTAAAAAGGTAAGATTAAGGGGCAGAAAAAACCCACACATTGTCAACAGCACTGCATGGAAGACAGCCCACAATTTCAGCCCTCAAGTGTGGCAAAAGGGTTTCTTCATTCCAATGTCTCCTGTGGCCCAAAACTCCATCAAGTTTTACCTGAGCTTGGGATTGGAATCAAGAACGGTGGAGGGTAGGGGTGGGTGGGGGGATGGCCAAAGAGGAAGATCTTGAGATGGGCCTTGAAGGAAGCAAAGGAAGGGGCGAGTTAGAGGGATTCCTGGATGGAGTTCCAGAAATTAAAAAATTCAGAAAACAAAGGAAATTCTGAGCGGGACCCAGTCTCCTGATGGTCCGATGTCACCACCTCTATACGTGAAAAACTCTTCTATGTATCTAGAGAACTTCACAAGGTACACAAATTCACATAATAATAAACTGGTGTTGCAATATGAATGCTACATACAGCAACAGGCTTCAACAACGGCAGTAAGATTAAACAGCCACCCAGCTAACCCAATGAAACAGCAAAGCACCATGAGGCAGATGGAAAACAAACAACACCGAAAGCAGCAAGGAAATGAGAAGCAATGCAGAAGGATATATATATTCAGCCATGAAGATACACACAAGGTTATTCTGCTCCATTCACTCAATGTTGTGAATTCGCTGATTAGAACTAAATAATATTAATCCGTACATTTGATGTAGCGTGTCATTAAATGTCTCAAAGCGCTTCACAAGAATTTTACTTTAAAGTATTGTGAACTTGTTGGCAAATTCAGCAGCCAAATTCCAAACACTAATGCCCCACAAGCAGCCATGAAGTGAATGACTTGTTTTATTTGGAGGATTGTTGGCCAGGATACTGGGAGAAACTCCCTTCTCTTTTCCAATATTGCTGTGAGATACTTCAGTTCCACCTGAACTAGCAGGACCTTGGTTTAATGTCTCATCGTAAGGGTGACAGCTCTGACAATACAGGAGTCCCACAGCACTGCACTGGAGTCCCATTCTAGACTATGAGATTCAAGTCTAATCAGAAAAAAAAGTCAGAAGTCCTGATGTGGGGCTTTAACCCACAACCTTCTGACTCTGGTAAGAGTGCTACCAACTGATGCTTTTCTGCTCCATTCTCCTACGTTTAGCAACTTTAAATTGTGTCACTTAACCATCTAGAAATAAAGCCATTTGTAGAAGGCAGAGAAGAAAGTTGGAAAAATTGGACAAAAATTGGTAGTGAGACAAAATATACATGGTGAGACAAAATAATTGTTTTGATATTTAAATGTCTGGCTCACAGCCAGTTCCATCAAGTCAATGGAGTTCAGCATGAGGTTTAAATTTCATAATTTGTAATGTATTCATTCTGAACGTACTGGAGGTAGGATTACCCCCACCCACCCCCACCTGTTCTCAGTAACATGAAACGGAGTTATATATTTGACTTCTATCCCACAACACGCTGCTCTACATGAAGGGTGCTTTATAAATGCAAGTTGTTGTTCTTTTTAGCAGTTTTGATTGCTAGTCAGAAAAATTACAAACATACTAAACAAACTTCACAAACACAACTGCAACTCGCACTTATACAGCGGATTTCAGAAAGGGCAACATCTCAAAGGCCATCAAATACAAAGACATTCACTGAGCAGGATGACAAGGAGGGGAGTTTTATTGTGTTTAATTAAACTGCGCAGTCAAAGAGAAGTGTTTTTAAAAGGGTTGTGAAAGCCGGGAGAGAAGGTGCTTGAAGGGATTGTAGGAGCGAGTACCAGAAAGCACGGTCCTCATGACTGGAAGCTCGGTCACCAGTTGTGTGAGGAAAAGCTGCAAGAGCAGAGTTGCAGCACTGGAGAGTTCAGGAAATGGGAGAGGATGAATAGGGCTGAGGAGATTGCTGAGATTTGTAAGAGGGTTGAGAAGATAATATATTAGTCCTTACATTTGATGCAGAGCCCTTCATATCGGGAGGACATCTCAAAACGCTTCACGGGATCATCTCAAAATATGTAAAGTGAAGTGACTGTGTGTTTTGTGGGCAGCCAATTTGCACACAGCACTGTCCCACAAACAGCCTTGAAGTGAGTGACCCATTTTATTTGGGGGATTGCGAAGGTAAGCGTCTATTTAATCTTTCACGTCCAAGCAGACGGGACCTTAGTTTAATGTCTCATCCAAAGGACGGCGCTTCTGACAAAGCTGTACTCTCCTAGTATTGCATTAGCACATCTGCCTAGACTATATGAGTTCCAAATCCTGACCTGGAGCTTGAACCCACAACCTTCTGACACATGAGGCAACAATGCTACCAACTGAGCCAGGCTGTCACATGTGGACTTGTGAGATGAGAAAATAGCAGCACTGAGTGTAAGAATCTTTTCAGGTCATTTCCAATTCTTTTTGTAACCTGTGCATCTCATTTACCCTACATTAGAAACCTCGACAGGCCTATTATAAAACAGCTGGCTTCAAAACAAACCTACCAGTCCGAGCGACCCAATTACATTTTCTGTCATTTCTTAAACTGGGATGAAACTTAATCATGTGGGAGAGTTCCTTTCCTGAGATCATGAAACATTTCTATTTTCCCTTCAGTCTTCTCTGTGTCTCATACTGTCTGTGGCGTATACAGCAGGAGGAGAACTAGCTTAGAAACCACCACTGTGGCTCAGTCCCAGAATATACATCCCTCTGAACAATGGTTCAGGTCAGATTGAAACAAAGCAATGTGGGAACTTTGAATCCCCTCCCTCTCCCCTAACTACTGCCATGGCATAAAACTGGGTGTATCCTTGCCACTTGCTACACTAGGAACATCACAACATGGCAATAGATGGAACTCTTGGAAACGTACTGTTTAGGTGCAGCTGAATTATGTCTTGCTAGTTAATTCTCAGTTTTCTGCCCCTTGGCCTCCAGACTCCTTCAAGGCATCAGTTCCACTACAAAGGTACTTAAACCAAGTGGTCACTTTTCACATGTGATTGCCAGTAGGACATCTGACTGCATGTTTTTGTCAAAGCTGAGCCCGATCTTCCCAAAATCCACATTCTCCCCTTTCAGCAAAACAGCAAACGAGAGATGACCTAACTTTAATGCAGACCAGCAATGAACCTGGAGTTTCTGTGTAGTTTTACAGCATAGTATAAATGAGAGACTGCTCAGGGTAGAGAGAGATCACCCTTTGTATTGAAGCACACAAAATAAGGCTATTTAACAACTTTCATTTAATTTCTAAAACATTATATTTTGTAAAGAACTTGAAACATTTTTTTTCATGTAAGAGGCTTAGTTGAAATGAAAGTTATTACCACCATATAAGTGCCACTGTAATCTCTGCTTTTTCAAGTAGATCCTTTAATAATCTCACTTTCCAACTCTTTCCCCACAGCCTTGTATTTACTTCTCAGCTGCTCATCCAAGTTCTCTTTCCACTAATTCTATTAATAGCCTCAAAAGCTACTTGTGGTAATATATTCTACACTGAACAACCTTCCGAGTAAAGAAATTATTTATAATTCATCCCTTACTTTGATGCTAACAATCCTAGAACCGTGCCTCCTTGTCACCAATTACTCAAGTAAATGAAATAAGTTTCCCCTCCTATTAATGTTGTCATGACCCTTCGGTCTTAAAAGATCGCCATCGAGCTCCTCTGGTCCAGTGGAACGCCCCTCCCCCACATGAGCTGGCCTCGCTTCAAACTGGCAAGACTGATAAGCTATTAAGCGATGTTATGATGCCACAGAAGGTTCAGATTGGCATTACAAAGATTAGTTACACACCATCTTTCAATGAGTTCAATCTCACTTTCAAATCAGAATTTTCATCACCTCATTCTTGGAGCTGATGCCACTGTCACTTTAAGAACTGCATGGGCATTTTGACCAGATGAGCTCCCCCTTACCCCCATCCCCACCTCACCCGGTGGACTTCCGAGACACTCCTCCCATCCTCTCCTTCCTACAGCTACGTCACCTCACAGATTGAAGAAAAAACAATTTTGCCACCTAACAAGTGACTGAGTCCATTCAGTCGCTAATCGCTTTGCGACATTCTTGCAGTGAGACTTTCTCAGTGAGCGGCCGAGCGGTGGAGTGAGTAGGGGTGAGTGTGGGAGAATGAACAATGTCATATCTGGAAGCAACTTGAGGCAGAAACTACCAACAATGAAAAAGCCAGTGAAGGTCACCAATAGATCCCATTCCTTCCTGTTAAAGCGGGGATGACAGTACAGATACCGTTTGCACAATGTTAAACTACTGCACAGATGGCCATGAAGCACAGGAAGCTACCAAGTGAAGCACACAAACGCACAGACAGCACAAACAGCACCACTTTCCCTGCAGGTGAGAGGCTCTTACCCCTACAAGGCATCAGCAGACGCTTCTTCGTGCCTGGCAGAGGACAGACGGACAGAAAAGAAGAGATCAAACACACATCCACAAATTTGACGACAGTCAGAGAGCTCCCTCACATGTTAATAATCTTTCCTGACAATTTCACTGACAATTACCTGGCTCCTTCCGAACACCTCGGAATTAATTCCGAATGGGGATTTACAGATTTGGGAATATAATAATAATAATCCTTGCATTTGATATAGCGCTTTTTACGTCTTCTAGACGTCTCAAAGCGCTTCACAGAATATACTGTAAAGTGAATTGACTGTATATTTGTGGGTGAAACGCGGCAGCCAATTGCGCACAGCAGTGTCCCACAAACAGTCGTGGATTGAAAATGACCAATTTATTATTATTTTTTTTGGATGGATTATTATTAGGCATGTAGAGTAAGGAAACTTGCCCAAAGTTTCGCCCTGCCTGGAATTGAACCCAGGTGTCTCGCTTACAAAGCGAGTGCTCTAACCACTGAGCTGCAGGACTCCACGGTGTGTTGTAAGGAGCAGTAATTGTTCCTGAGCAGCTCTTTGTTACAAAGTAATCCACAAACAATGCACGATATCTTATAAATAAGACTATACATGTTTGTCACTAACAACAGTGGTTCCTTTAGTTTTGTGTTTATAAAGGCAATTACTATTACAAACGCCATAACAAATGATTGCTGAAGATCACTACCTGCAGTCTGGCCTGTAACAGAACAGACACACAGAGGTTAGTCTGTTATAGGGACTGGGAAACCACCTGTGAGGATGAGCCTGTTATAGTGACCGGGGCTCCACTCCCCTATGAGAGTCACTATGTTATAGTGACCAGGACATCTCTGTTGCTGATGCTAGCTACCCATGCTCATACATTTATCAGCGATGCTGATGCTAATATTATTGTAAACTAGTGAGAGTCATGTCTTCGGGAAGAAAAAAATGGGAGGAAAGCAGTGGAACAAAAATAACAAGATTGTTCCAAGTAACAGAGACAAAAGTTTAGAAAAAGGGTCACTGTTCTCTGTAAAATGTGGGAAGAGAATTGCTCATCAACTGTCAGTTAAGAGTTAAAGAGGAATCTCACCAAAGTTTAAAAGCATTACATGTCTAAAATAATATAATTCCATGTGATTATTTCAAACTAAGCACGGAACATATGGCCAGAGGACATAAATTAAGCTTAGTAAACAGTAAATGTGGACAGGTATCAGGAAATACTTTAATTTACCAAGCAACAAACATTGAGACAAAAACATTGAGTTTATTTAAAACACGGTCAGATGGGGTTAATATCCCAGAGGGCTAAGCTTTTGTGGCTGAATGGCCCTGTTCCCATCCCTGAAGTTTCTTAGCCGGGTTTCCTACTTCTGATCTTAATAGAGATCCTGTGCTCAAGGTGCACGTGCGCAGACAGAATAGGGATTAGCAGAAATCCTCGCCCTTCCTTCAAATATCTGGCCGACATTCAAAGAATATTCAAGGATCACACATAAATAAGTCACTGAGAAGGAATAAGAAATCAAACACTTTCAGGAGTGGGATTGTGGAGGGGAAGATATATAATAGTTGTATAGTTGTGGAGGAGGAGATCGCATGGAGAACTTATGGGGAACCTCTAAAAAACAGCAAGGAAAATTGAATCAAATGTACACATCCCAAAATTTGTTTGCAATACTAACCGTCTATGCCGTTATGTTGCTCGTAGCTGCGTTTGCCGAGGATGGTTGGAGAGCCGTTGTTAAGGATGGGTATGGCCTTTGCGTGAGTCAGGCTGCTGATGTGCAGACTGCTACTGGATGTGCTCTTTGCTGGCTCTCGTTTTGGACAGGGATGGGCCTCTGTTAATAAAGAGAGAAAGTCGACAGTCATTTTCTAAACACTTTTGTAGCTGCCGCAATAAGCTAGTGAAAATCACTATCAAACCTCGCCTCTCAAATCCAGCAATCTCTAGCTCAGAGCACAGTAAAGAATAAGTACTGCGATAACTTTCCCTCTAATATTAAAGCCATTGAGTGGAACATTGCACTCCAGAGCATTCAATAAAGTGTTTTCAATTACATGGAGCAAGGATACCCTAGCATTGGAGAGAATTCAGTATGGATTTACAAGAAGGGTAACAGGGATGAGTGGAGACAGCATTCAAGAAAGATTGGGCAGTTTGGAGCTCTTCTCTATCAAGATGAAATGATTGAATGGGCAACTGATAAGATTAGTTTACCATCATGAAAAGATTTGATAAGATGGACATTGATGGGTTGTTTCCACTTATTCCAATGAAGGGGCATAAATAGGTAATCTAATAGGGAGTTTATAATAGGGATCTAATTTGGAGTCCTGTAGCTCAGTGGTTAGAGCACTCACTCAGTGGTTAGAGCACTCGCTTTGCAAACGAGAGACCTGAGTTCAATTCCAGGCAGGTCAGGGTGAAACCTTGGGCAAGTTTCCTTACTCCACACAGAGCCTAATAATAATCCCTCCAAAAAACAAAAAACAATAATAAATTGGTCATTTTCAATCTACGACTGTTTGTGGGACATTGCTGTGCGCAATTGGCTGCCGCGTTCGCCCACAAATATACAGTCAATTCACTTTACAGTATATTCTGTGAAGCGCTTTGGGACGTCCTCCTGACGTGAAAAGCGCTATATCAAATGCAAGGATTATTATTATTATTATTTAGAAGAAACTTCAAACATAGAGGGAAAAAACGTGGAACTCACTACTGGAAGCTGTGGTTGAAACAAAAAGGATCGATGTATTTAAGATGAAACTAAATGCGTAGGTGAGGGAATACAGTACAGAGGGGTAGAGGAGAGAATCGGAGGGTTCGAGCTAGAGTGGAGGATAAACACTGGCACAGACTACGTAATTCTATGGAGAAGGCTCACCTCTGGAAAAAATATATCAAATACCAAAACACATGGAAATATATGCTCACACACAAACACGTTTGCACAGCTGAGTATGTAGTCCCATGCACGAAACCAATCTCTCACTCTCACTCTCTCTCCCCTAGCATGTTGCCAGAAAGCCAATTTGGCAGCAGCTGGATTTGTGATACAGAACCGGTATGCTCACTAGCCCAACACACAGATTTCAATTTGCTTATACTGACATACAAATCCCTTCATGACTACTTCCTTTCAGAATAAACTTCTTTCCAAAAACTCACACAAACATTGAAGAAAGGGAGTCAAGAGGTGGACAGTGAACGGTTGTAATATATACAGTCATATAAAAACACAACTAGCTTACGTTACTGTCAGACAGGGTCTTATAATTTACACCAAAGAATCACCAGAGGATACTGGCTATTATGTATAACCTATTCTCTGTGAAACCACAAATGTTAACTAGCAAGCTTCACTAGTTCAGGAGAAAGGCTTACCTAGGTATTTCACAACTGCTTCCAAAGGTTTCCTTACAGCTTGTTTCAATGCTGTGGGCATCTTCGTAACATCAGGCAATCGCACTGCACCTGGTACACATGCACAGTGTTAAAATCAGGTACGGGGAGCAGTACACAGGGATATGGGATATAAAATCAGGTACAGGAGTGATACATGGCTCCACTATCAGTAACTGAATCTTCAGTTAACATATCCTTGTCTCCTACTGTTCTCTTTGAAAAGCACTTTGTTTTGCTGAATCTCGGCTTTACTTTGACAACTGCTTGTTAATGAGCCAACACAGCAAAATACGAACATACAACAAAGGCAAATCTGGAGCAGTAAAGCCCTGCCTTTTCTGAGCATGCTCTCCCATGCCCTGCAGTTCCTGAGGCTGCTTAGAATGTTTTTACAAACTATGTGTTTCTGACTAATGCCTCACGACTTACATTCTGCCTTGATGGCGGCGCTGTTAATAGGCACGTAGGGGTGTCTTGCCGCCTGCAGGGGCTGCAGGATATCTCGACATAAACGTCGGGCAGCTTTTGTCAGGTTGGTTGTCTGTAGGTAAAAGGCCTGTCGAGTCTTCAGTGCGAACTTGGGACTGGTGCTGTTGTGAATTGGAAGGCCGAGAGCATTCTGTGGCAGAAGCACAAAGACACACGCTGTTAGCACTGTGGGGTGAGACCCAAAGTTAAATAAGGCTTTAGTTGAAATCCAGTTTGTCACAGGCAGCAGACAGCAATGCCTGCTTCACGCTAGTAGTTTCCACTGAGCATCTTCCTGATCCAGGCCCAGACGAGGGGACTACTTCTGCATTCGCAGCATTATTATTTTATAATAAATCAGACTGATGAGAGAATGTTAGGTAACAGGTAGCACTGCATGATCTGTTTTGATTGCAGTCAATCCTATGCTGTTGGTTAGGTGAGCTTTTCCTGTCAAAGGAATAGCAAAAGACATAGCAAAAGAAAAGTTATTTTTATTGAGTCGATCATATCCAGTGTACTTTTTTCACCGATCAGTAAAGGAAATACTGGATACTGGATTGTCCACTCTGTACTGGATCGACTCTATTTAAACCAAATGCTAAAAATACTCCTGAGAGTGCAAGTTCACTTATAATGGTGGATTCCCATGGATACAGGGGTTATCATAAGGATATTACAGGACTAGCCAGCCAGCCTGCAGCACCTCAGGCAACCCTAGGCACGTAAGACACCTGCGGCTTAAAAGCACTCACCCTCCAGTTAGGCAGGCTATAACGTTGTCGCCCTGTCATATCTACTTTACATCTCCATGTTCCCCCACCATTCCCTGACTAAACTGTTCTGAACTCAGGACCCTGGCAAAAACCACTCCAGAATTAGCCATTTAAACCCAGGTCCCGTCTGCCACTTTTGCAGGTTTAGGTGAACATTAAGAGATCCCACTGAACTTTCTGGAAGACAAGCAGGGAGTTCTCCTCATTCAAATGTGACAGCAAAAAAAACAATTGGCCATCTGATCGCTGTGAGTGGACATTACTGGTGCACATCAGCTGCTGTGTAGAAAGTCTACGTATACAGTAACCCATTGGGTGTCAGGTGCTTTGAGACATTTTGACACTGTACCGTGCTGCATCATAGGTGAGTGCTGTGTTGAAGTGCAACAACAACAACAAAATTACATTTGTATAGTGCCTTTTACATCGGGAAGATGTCAGAAGTGCAATGGCTCAACACGACATACAGACCACAAGGTAAAATGGTGCACTGGTATAATGGTAAGTACCAAGTTACTGCGATTTGGTCCTGGTCTTTCACCGTCCAGCCTCGTTGACATCTTCAATCCACCATACTTTTTCCAGTAAACCCAGCAAGCCGCGCACAGCCTGCACTGCATGTTCGGAGGACCCCACGAGTACCACTGGTAAGATTGGGTAGCTTGTGAAAAGCAAACAAAAATTGAAGTTCATTGCACGTCTCAATCCGAGCAACATCAAATTTTCTCCCCAATGTCTCTTTAACCAGATCAATGTTGCTGTTGCTTTCGTTAGGAGGCAGCAGCAAAAGTCACCGATTCCCTCAAACCGTCTCCTTGGAGCCTCTGATCACTAAATTCATGAACAATAACAACAACAAATTACACTTGTATAGCGCCCTTCACGTCGGAAAGATGCTACTACATAGTGTGAAACGAAGATTCCACACCAGGGTTCCCACTCCTGCTCGCTTCTGAACAGTGCATCTGTCTGTGTGGAAACCGGGCGAGGGTAGGGTCAGGTTCGGCTGTGATTTCTTTGAGATTGAAAAGCCTCCCAATACTCACCGTCTCACCGTGAAAAAGACTGAAGTACTGGAAAGTGGCCAGGACAAATTGGCCAGCACAAGTCAGTGCCTTCAAAATAGGAATAGGGAGGGAAGAGCAATACCCCAGCTCTGGGTCTACCAGATACTGGCTCCACCTGAACTCCTTGGCTTGCTAAGGGAGATTCCTCCATTCCCTTAGCCATCCAAGGAGTAAAATTCTTCAGTATGAATACCAGTAGAAGCGGACATTCAGTTTTTGGAAGCCCCATATTCACTCTTTTGCCACCAGGTCATAACACTGTATTAAAGTTTAGCAACGGTAGCTACGATGTTTGATACCCCGGTGAACCATTCTGCCAAACAGACAATCAACAACTAGCTGATGTGCAGCGGGTTTCAGGTCAGGCATATCTCAGGAAGACACTGCTCTTGATAATGAAGCATTACGCCATTCTGCCAGCACTTACTGAAACAGCTTTCACAGGCTCGCCCCGGTCCTGCTGCGGCTCCGTTTTGTGTCAGCACGCTCCCTCCGTTCACTGCCCCAACTTTGGCGCTCCCTCCATTGATTTGGTTGGGGTTTGGCTTGTTGCTGCACAAGAAGATAGAATCTCAATGGGACCCGACTGAGGAGACGTGAGCCAGGCAAGTCCCACAGTAAAAAANGGCTTGAACCCGGCATCAATCAATTGGATTCATCATGAGCGATAGTAACCAGTCATTCTCAGTCTGTCTATAACTTAATTTTTTGATGCTGACTGGGAATTCCTTTCCTGCAAAGCAGTGGATGGTGATTTTGCCAAATTCAGCCTAATGTTCGTGTGAGTCTCGATGAAGATGAACATTTACACCATGTCTGCCAGTGAATCACCAGTCAATTGCTGGGGTATTTGGCCCAAAAGGAACCCTGCGGATTAATACTTAATCATGGCCCCAGAGATTTTCAAGATGGGGACTGGAGAGAAAATCAATTATAAAACATTTATGGTAAATTAAAATCTTAACCCCGAAAAGATTACACAAAGACAAACGCCATATTTATTTTAGAAGTGGGGAACGGGAATATTCTATGGTGTCCTATAAATCACTGGTATGGTTATTATTATTAAAAAAAGGGTAATAATCCCTTTTTTAAAAAAATTACAAACGATAATAATAATAATTTGGTCACTCAATCCACAATTATTTGTGGGACACTGCTGAGCACAATTGGCTGCCGTATTTCTCCCATGAAATATATAGTCAATTCAGTTTACAGTATATTCTGTGAAGCGCTTTGAGATGTTTTAAAGATTTATTAAGGCGCTAAATCAAATGCAAGGATTATCATAAGTAAATCGTGCCAGACAATATTAGGTAACCTTCTTTGACAACACAACTGTAAAAAAATTGTAATAAGTAAACTGCAGGTTCAGTGGGTTAAGGTCACTGTTCTTTTCTCGCTGTCACCATGTCTGAACACAGCCCAGACTGATGGGATGAAGCTCTCCTCTGTATATGGCTCCAATCTGAAATGAGTTTGAACATTCTCAAGATTGTTCCCGGTGGCCAAAATCAAACTCACACGAAGGGAATAGACTCACTCAGAGGCCACAAAAACATTTCAGATCCAATATTTCTTTTAGACTTAACCTTAAAACCATAAGGCATTTCTGGGAAGGGAATGATTCTTCTGAGGGTGGGAATGAGACACATTGCTGGGGTAATTATTATTATTGTACAATTTAAAAATCATGCAGAAATTTGCCGGGGCAATCTAGACAGAGAGCTTTATTTAAGCGGGGGCCTTAATTGGAAGAGTGCCCAGCAGACATCCTTCAACAGGAATAAGCACAAAATATTTCACCAGGAAAAATAGTGTTTTTTTGAAAAAAAACTCTTTCAGCGTGCGGTAATTCATCTGCTAATCTAGATTTATACTTCTGTGTTTTGGAAACCCGGCCCAGTAAGTACCGTTTCCTACATTTCTGTCCTGTGGTGAATCGGGAATGTTTGAAGGAGCAAAACATTTCCAGCAGTAATGTCGCTGAGCAAAGGCCGAGACTGAGACACTGTTCAGGATTAGCAGGATTTACACTTGGATGTTTGCCAGTGTTGTTACACACTGCTGCCTTGTCCTTGACTGGGACAAAGAGGAAGCCCACACAAGCTTCTTCCTGCATCTACCCCTCCCTCTCCTTCGGGGACAATTCTAGCGAGTCCCGGAGAATTCTCCTATCCACAACCAGGTCAATATTTACTTACTGTTAAAAAGTCAATTTCAGAGAACATCGACAATCTCTCCCCACCCCCACCCCTGTAGATTAGCAGTTTCCCTGCCACACCTCAAAGATATATCAATGTCTTTAAAAAGAAAAACCTGTGTTTTTTCTATTATTTTTCTGTTTTGTACAAGAGCATTAACCACCACTACACCCACTCCCCAAATCCTTCCGAGTCCCTTTTATCTCTTGGCTTTCACAGCAGCCCTCAACGGAATAAAGAGCCTTAAGCCCTAGCTATCTGCAAGTGTGAAATGGCTGAGCATCACTGTGCGAGGAGCCCCACGTGGCTCATTTGGACAAAACGCAGGAGAGAAGAGGACTTGCAGCAGAAAAACGAATGCTTACTAGTTGGGGATGTACACTTGTTTCAGCTTGCTTTCTGCTTCAGCTGCTTTCAGTCGTTTCTAAGAGACAAAGAGACAATTAATGAGAGATTGGCGATCACATCCAGGATCCATCTAACGGCAAAGTATTCAACCTTCACTGTTGACAATGCCCTTCAAAAGCCTTTCTATTTGTTCAAACCAAAGTAACAGCCAAAAGTAAACCAGGCCCTGGAGTACACTCTTACCACACTGTCCTTTCACCTCTAGGGCTTTATTGTTTCAACTCCAACCCAGAATTTGAAGATTTTAAGCTTGATTCTCGACTTCATAATTTTGTTAGCAGCACTTTGCCTGCACACCTATAATCCCTGTTGTCGAAGACCTGGGTTTGATTCCCAGGCAGGGAAAAACCTTAAGCAAATTTACTTACTTGATGCGCCTCTGTTTACCAAGCAATAGGTAGGAATCCGATTGTTAGTCGATTGGCGGATCGCTTTACGGGAATAATAATCTCGCCAAAAAATAAATTAATAATAATAATAACTTGGTCACTCAATCCACGACTGTTTCTGGGAAACTCCTGGGCACAATTGGCTGCCACAAACTATATAGTCAATCCACAAAATATATAGTCAATTCACTTTACAGTGTATTCTGTGAGGTGCTTTTGAGATGTCTCAGATATGCAATAATGTATATCAAATGCAAGGATTATTATTATTTATTATTACATTAATTTTTCACTGTGTTAAGTCACCCTCAAAGCCTTTAACATGATCTGGCATCATACAGATCAAAATAAGTTACTGGTTGCTGGGTTTCAATTTTTTTTAATTTGACAGATAATGGACATGTATATGACCTTTTTTTAACCAGAATTTACTATCTGGTGGTAACGTAGCCACAGACGTCACTTCCTACACACGCACAGCAACCTTACAACCTGGCCATTGGCCATTTATGTAGTTCAGAAATGCCAAAACAGATGTAGAAACAAAACAATATTTAACGCTGAAAATAAATTTTCCTTGAGTTTGTGAAAATTGGATGAGCACAGATTTTGTCTATGTCATTCGATGGGCCAAAGAAAATTTTCTTTCTGCAAAGCCACTGATCATCCATCCACTCACTCAAAATAGCATTCTTTTCATCCCGTCTTTATAAGTCGATTTCCAAATAAAAAAATACCATTTTGGTCATTGGTTAGGAAAGACCAGTTTCTCCCGATCAGTCTCAAGACTGACAACATCACTCTTAATCCTCCAATGATGTGCTGGACCAAACCATCACCTCGGAACTCAAACAGAATTCTCACAATGTTCTCGTCCAATGTGAGATCCATCTCCAAGCACCTCAGGTTCCTCTTTTTTGCCAAAGATCAATTTTTCCTTCAACGACTCACATTTCTCTATTGCGTATGTTCGTCCAAAACAGATTCTGCTCCCATATTTGGGGAAGCTCTTCCCACACCTCTCTTGCGCTCAAAACGTCTTCGCTTTTTTTCTCCTTCAACACATGCCTTCCCAAAAGTGGAATTTCTCCCTTTCTCCCACAATTGGCTTTTAAAGCCCAAGCATGGCATCACCTCATCACTTTTCTTAATGCCCTTTCTCTTGTTCTGTCTTGGTTACTCTTCTCTATCTTGCTGGTGATCCACAATAAAACTGTGGGCCTTAGCCCTTTACTAAGTTTAATAGGTTCTTCATTTTGATGAGATTTCTGGCCAGGACACTGGAGAAAAGTCCCTTCGCTTTACAAATAGTGCCACTGGATCTTTAATGCCCACTTGAAAAAGCAAATTGGCCCTTGGTTGAATGTCTCATGTGAAGGAGAAAGTTTTCATTTTCTCGCAATCAGGCTGGAATGTGAGCTCAAATCCAAAATAGTCTTTCAGGCTACGATTAGGCAGTATTTGGGGCCTCAGATTAGTTCACTCTTTCTTCGCTGGGGCTTGGTTTGATTTTAGCCCAGACTGATGGAATGCCCACTTCCTGTAATTGTTACCTGTAAGGATCCTAACATAAAGTCCATTTGGGAATTCTGAATGCAGTTCCCAGTGGACAAAAGCCAGAGAAACAGAAATGCTTTATTCTGACCTAACATGTGCTGTACCTGACCCAAGAGCGCCGATTGCTGATAGATACTGGGTGCCGGAAGTGGGAAAGCATTTCATTTCCCAGCTGTAACATCTCTCACCTTGATGAGCACAATACAAAATCCAGCAAATGTGGGAAAAATAAAATCAATGGTGTTAAAATTAATGGGAATTCATTACAAGCATTTAATCGTCAAGAGAACCCTGGTTTCTCTGAAGTCAATATATCTGACACATGGCTTGTTGTAAATGAGAAAATGGAGCGAGAGTAACACCAGGGTACATGCTGATTAATGACCACAAACAGCAAGAGTTTGTCTGCAATATTCTTTGTACTCTGGAGACAAACTAGATCACTAACTGAGCCAAACTGCTTAATATTAACGTTCAGAATACATGGAAACTCCATTTTTTAGTACATCCTGTGAGACGCTACATGAAAAGCCAGGATTACTATTATTGCATTGGAGCAATTGGCTGCCCACAAAAATCTAGAGTCAATTCATTTTACAGTGTTTTCTGTGAAGAGCTTTGAGAAGTCCCAAAGACATGATAAGGCACTATATCAAATGCCAGGATTATTATTATTACATAACATCCTGATTGCCTGACACGCACATTCATCTTGACATCTTAAAAACATTGAAGGATAAAAAGCTAAACACGGCATTACCTGCTGTACGTATCGATCGGTTGTTTTCCACATGTAGTAATACTCTATGATGCTGGTTAATGACTTCCATGGTAACTAAAAACACATGTTAAAAAAAAACACATTTTATAACCCAGAAAGGTGCCCTAAAGGCTTTTTTGTACTCATTTTAAACTGGAATAATATTTTGAAAATGATGTGAATGGAATGCTTGGGAACATAAGCATTCCAATAAATGACTTCAGCCACACAAGGAATGGTTAAGATACATCCGTGAACTTGGACCTCTTCATTTAATTCATTTCATTTTAGCCCCAAAATAAAATTGGCCTTTTATTTCTTGGCACTTTGCGCAACATTGCTGTGAGGAAACATTGCTGTCAACACCAGGGGGCACTATCACACACTTCCTTGCAGATGAAACAGAAGGGGGCCATTCAGTCTGCCAATAATGTTTCACCATTTGATTTCATGATAACAATTGTTTTCCTTCCATTTCCCCCAATTGTCCTTTATAACCCTTCATCCCCAAGTATCCACAGCATTGATATAAATGCTGGTGGTGCAATCTTAGGAACAGCTCTGGGTGGCAAGCAGAGGCCTCATTGAGGAAAGGGCACATAATAACTTAGCAAAGGAGAAGTATTACTATCACAAATTAAAGGAATGAAAGATTTTACTTGGGACTGTTCTCATGTAACCCACTCTTCCTGTGACTGGCACCATCTAAACAAGTAACAGCACATGACTTGTCTAACCAACAATCATCCTATTTGGTTCACAGCGTTCATAATTGATTCATGGAGTTCAGGTCACGTCTGCACCTCCAAGTCTACCTTGGATTGCTGTGTGTCTGTAGGACTTTGACTATCACGTTTCCTCTGATCCAATTCATTAACAAGAACTTCACAACACAGTAGGAGGTCATATTACTGTTGGTGTTTGTTTCTCCAGTGAAGCCATCCATCTTGATCACAATTCTCGTCTCTTTCCCTGGGACCCTCTAATAACATTCCCACATACTTGCCTGTTTAATTCCCTTTGAAATGCTCTGATAAACTCTGCTCCAGGAGCTATCCCTGGCCAATTATGCCATTTTTGATGATAAGCGCATCGCGTATTTTAGACATTTTATCGATCTCAAAAGGATTAAAAGCTGCGGGGATCTCATAATTGGGAATCAAACCCAGAACTTCTTGGCCCCAAGGCCATCAACTATGAGCCAGGACTAACATTCCCAGCACCTGCCAGATGTACTTAGTGAAGCAAAGCTTTGTGCCTATCACATTTTTCCCAATTATTGATGATATAACGTGTGTTGAGCCAAGGTGTCATCAGATCAAAACAACATTGGATCTTGCTTCTTCAATCTTTTCTCACTTACAAAATCTTGTTGTATGTCGTTAAAGTCCTTCCCGTATTTCTCCAGCGCTTCCTCGAACATGTTGGCCTCGGACGCAGACCATTCCTCCATCTCGTCCCGGCAGAGGACAGGCCCGCCCTGCGGGACCAGCGCCGAGATCGCCTTGGAAACGTCGTAGTTGTTTTTGTGCAAAGTGTCCATGGCATGAAACTGAAGAAAAACCACAGTGAGACAGACTGAGTCACAACCCCTTCCCCACCTCTTCACTGCTACAGAGCACATTCTCTCTCCCAACCACTCACATCACACTGGACAAGAACCGTAAGTGACAAGCATTCCTGAGATACGGATCCTCATTATAGTTGCCTCTGACTGTATCCTGTTGTAATTCTGCCTGATGTTTATTTAAACCCCCCTGAGGTACGAGCAGAATAAACCTGTAACAGACTCCTCTTTCCCATCCAAGAACACATTTAGCTATGTTAGCTCTCTCTGGGGCTCAGCTGATTTAAAGGAAAGAGGAATCTCTGTTTGAAATATGCCCCAGCAGATACTGATTACTGGTGGGATACAGGTAACCATAGATGTGATAAGACATATTCGGAAAAGAACATTGCAAACAAGCTGTATGGAAAGCAAGAAATTTCTTTTGCACAGCACTGGGATTTGCCTCCTCCACCTCCGGGCTGCTGTGGTGATGGATGTTGTCGGAAGGGGCCATGTGCTGCTTCATCGAGTGAAAAAGCAGGTTTGGAAGCCGATCTGGAAATGCTGGACGCTGGGAAAGCTCCCTGAAGTCAGTGGGTGGCAATTCCTCTCTGACACTGTGCTATCCCAGTGCTGGCCAGCTGTGGATGAGCTACCAGGCCACCCCAACACTCCATCTCTTCCCAAATCAATACAACTGCTCCAGAAAGCAGCCAGCTCTTCCCCTATAACACACATCCCTGAGCGGCAGGTCCCAGTGCAGGGAAGGCTGGAGGGAGTACTTCCTGTTAGAAAGCCCTGCGTCTGCCCTCCACCCCCCACCCCGATAGTGAAGAAAATCAAATCCTTCCAAAATGTAACTTTAGGCAGGAATCCTCAGCTTTCACAGTATTAGGACTTCCCTTGGGTCACTAGGTGGTGCAAACTCAAATCCTATTCTATGAGCAGGCCAGAACATTTAGTCGGACAGTATTTGCAATGAAATTTTGCTGCACATTGGTGTACCAATTCTTACCTGGGTGATGTCTCTGGAGGCAGCAGCTGCACTCATGTGTAAGCTGGGCTGTCTGACGGAACTACTGCAATCAAGTGCCCGGGCAAACGTACCCACAGACCTAAACAGATAGAGGGAAACACACAATCAGCCGCCATTGTTTGGACAGAAGTTAACTGCAAGTCTGTTCTTGGCTTCCTCCAATTTTGTCCCCTATTCTCTTCAAGACATTGACTCTTGCTGGGTGCAGGTCCTCGGTTGGCAACCTTCTAGCCAATGATGGTCAAGTAGCTGTTTTCATGATTATGCTGAAATTCCAATTGGTGTTCTGTGTAGCCCCCTTGATGATGTATAGATATATGGGGAAAACTCCAGAAAAGGGCGATATTGTCAGGTGACACAGAAGATTAACTGGAATTTCAGCTCTCCAAATATCAGGAGGATAAGCATCCTGCTTCGTGCTGACTCACCCAGGAACATTGCATTTGGTCTCAGACAGTCAGGGAGGGCAAAATCTGCCTTGGGTTTTGATCACTCTTCAGGGACACCTACAGGAAAGGCTATGTGCGTGTGGATGAATACATGGATGGATATATGTAACGGCAGGATTGATATCAGCTGTAATGCCTTTCCATGTTTGTCTGCCTTTACACCATGTAGACATTACCGGTTCACTGGTTTAGGTCTCAGACTCACCGAGCTACCACTAAAAACTGGTCAATCTGCTTGTCTGTCAGTGAATTCTCGGCATCCCAGATTTTGATTTCCATTTTCGACTGATCTCGTTCATCATCCTCCCCTGAAAAAACAATGTGTAATAGTGAAGCTGTCAGCCCAGACATGAGCTCAGTAACTTGGCAGCATAAAGTAAAACAGGAATTCAAACTAACCAGCACCGACTATAGGAACCAAGGACCAGATCAACAGGTGTTAGCCTGGCTCAGTTGATAGCACTCTCACCATTAAACATGTGGGTTCATGCCCCATGTCGGGACTTTGAACAGACATAGTTTAGGCTGGGTCCAGGTCCTTGGTTAGCATTCATCCAGCCAGTGATCTGCAATGCTGAGATGTGCTGCATTGCTGGAGGTATTGGCTTTTGGGTAAGACGTTAAATCAAGGTCTTGTCTGCCTGTTCCAAGTGGAACTATTGGTACTGCTCGAAAAGAGAAGGGAGTTTTCCCTAGTGTCCTGGCCAACATTACCCCCAAATCAAATTGTTCATTCACTTCATGACTGTTTGTAAATTAGCTACCGCAATTGCCTACAAAATACATAGTCACTATACTTTACAATAAATCCTGTGAGACAGTTTGAGACCTCCTCCCAATGTCAAGGCCCTATAATGATAATAATAATCCTTGCATTTGATATAACGCCTTATCACGTCTTGGAGACATCTCAAAGCGTTTCTAAGAATATACTGTTAAGTGAATCGACGATATATTTTGTGGGCAAAACACAAATGTAAAGATCTACTTATTTGCAGAACCCCTGGCCAGACTGAGCCTGGAACAACAACAACAACAAGATTGCATTTATAGAGTGCCTTTCACGTCGGGAGGATGTCCCAAGGCGCTGGATAGTTGGGTCGGGACCCGAGCAGGGGGGAAATGGTCAGGGTGAGGGGAGGGAAGGGAGGGAGCAAGGAGGGGGTAGAGAGTCGAGAGGGGAGGTGAAGGCACGGTCAAAGAGAAAGGTCTTGAGACCGGCCTTGAAGGAGGAAAGGGAGGAGGCAAGGCGAAGGCACTGGGGGAATGGAGTTCCAAAGTCTAGGGGCTGAGAGGCTGAAAGCCCGGCCACCGATGGTAGGGCGGTTAGGGCGGGGGGTGTGGAGCAGACTGGAGCCAGAGGAACAGAGGGTACGGGCAGGTAAGTAGGGGGATAATAGTAGAAGAGGTAGGAGGGAGCAAGGCCGTGAATGGCCTTGTAGGTGAGGATGAGGATCTTGAATTCGATCCTCTGGGGGATGGGAAGCCAGTGGTGGCGAGCGAGGGTGGGAGTGATGTGGTCGCGAAGCCTGGTGCAAGTTACAATTGTGGCCCTTTTCAAAATGGGTACAACAACAGTTGGCCTATTTGGTATCTGGCAAAGTAAATAATTTAAGGGTTGCAGAGGATTATTTTATTTTAGCGAGATTGGACTCAACTGGATTGAATTATGCACTTGAGACTGCAGAGACTAAGAGTGCTTACAAAGAAGGTTATTAAATCTCTCTGCATTGTAAAATGGACAGATCAGCTGGACTTTTAAGTTTTTGAAAACTGTCCAAAGGTTCCTAACAAGAAGTCACAATCTCAAGCACAGAAGGGAAAGATGAATTGACAATCTAAGATTAAACTACTTTACACAAAAGGTGGAGAATATGATGTTAAATTCTCTGAAACAGTAATCATACATGAAAAACACTATATAAGTTCATTAGAAAATAATAATTATCATCATAATAATAATCTTTGAATTTGATATAGTGCCTATAAGGTTAAGGATGTCTCCAATTTGTGCAAAGAAATGTCCCCAAAACTATGAATTGAATGACCAATTTCACTTATAATAATAATCCTTGCATTTGATATAGCGCTCTATCACATTGTTGAAATGTTTCAAAGTGCTTACAGAATGTACTGTAAAGTGTGATGACTGGGTGTTTTGTGGGTGCCAGTTGTGCACATCAGTGTCTCACAAACAGTCATGGAGTGAGTGACCAATTTTATTTGGTGGATTGTTAGCCAGGACACTCAAGAGAAATTCCATTATCTTTTCAAATAGTGCCATGAGAACTTTAACATCAACTTGAACAGGCAGAACACTTACACTGGGAGATCCACAGCACATTTTTTGCCCTGTAAAATGACAGGGGGCACAACTTTACACAGATGATGTAGCCAGTTGGTTGTGGGTAGCTTTTACAGCAGTGCTCCACTGGGCTCCACAATAGCTCCAGCCATTATCAGCTAAAAGAGTTTCAAGGCTACGACCCTCTTGACGTGGGACAGTTACCTTCTTTCAATAAATCTATGATATCTGCTTGATACCGAGGACCCACACGAATCTCTCCTTTATCTGCCAAAAGTGTCTTCAGCTGGGGATCGTAGACAAGTGAATAAAAAAATGTGTCCTAGAAGGAAAAGAAATGACCAACAGCATCATCAATCAATATAAAGTCTGAACCGATACTAAGATGCACTTCACATGTGGGCGCAAACAATGAAATTGATTTGGACAAAAAGAAAAAGTATTTCTTTACACTGAGAGTAATGACAGATGGAATAGGTTACCATTGGTTACAAGATCCACACAAACAAAGGCTGGTTGAGTTCTAAGGTGGAGCCACAGTTATACACGACTTGAAACAAAATGTCTTGTGGAGCTATAAAGGTGGGTCTCCTTGGAATTAAACTGGCTCCAAGGTGACATGTTCTGCGGCAAAGCATTGAAATTGAGCCAGCCCTCTGTGGTGGTCTCTAGTCTGGTTCCTGAGCCAGGCGGGTCTGCAGTACTCCAGGGCACTGCTGATGACAGCACAGCCAGGCTGGCTCATCAGCAGCACTTGGATGGGCAGATCAGTCATTGGGGGCAGGGAATCTTCCCACTCAGCTCCTATTAACCCTGCATCTGACCAAAGTGGTCACCCACCACCTCGCTTAAGAGTCTCCAAACCAAACTACTAAGATTTCCACATATGTCTGATTTCTGCTCGCCTGGTCTGTAGAACACCTAATCCTGGAAAGTCAAGGTGCGGATGGGCAAGAGTCATGGCAGAGTGGATGTTGAGGTACTAATCGATTTCAGCCAGTTAAACTGCTCAGCTCACCATTGACAAACTTGTCCAGCTAGGATCTCGCTAACTGTTAGGGCTTTGGTTTGATTGCAAGGTTAAAAGGAGTCGAGCATCCAGCACTATATCATCTTATGTTACAGTTATTGTTTCTTTCCCTGGCTGGCTGTTAATAGTACCAGGGAGAGAAACAATGTACCAAAAACTGAATATCTGCAAGAGCAATTCATAACTAGTGGAGACTAGCGAGTGTCTGCGAAATGCCAGCGTGGGCCTTACTGTGATTTGATATCAGCAGAAACTTCCTCTTACCTCACGTTCCAGATACGATAAAAACAATTCTGTTTCGTTGAGCAGAGTAACACTGCATTTGCCCCTAAAAAAAAAGGAACAGATTTAGAAAGAGGGAGGGGGGGCGGGGGAAGAACACATCTTGTATTTTATACACTTTATCTTGTGGAAAGCGCATTATAGTAATTACTATCATGTGCGGTGTGTAGTGACAGTTTTGTTGGCAAATGTGGCACAGCAAGATCTCAGAAACAGCTAAGAGGAAGATGACCATTAAGCTGGAGGATTGTGGGCCAGGATTTTTTTCCCTATTTTTGAATTGTATCACAGAATCTTTAACATCTACTTAAGCAGAAAAAAAACTTGTTTAATGTCCTCCCGACGTGAAAGGCGCAATACAAATGTAATTTTGTTGTTGTTCATCACACAGCACACCACCTCTGCAATGCAGTGCTCTCCCAACTCTGCACTGGAGCGTCAGCCTAGACTGAGTGTGGAGTCCTGTAGCTCCTGAGTTCAATTCCAGGCAGAGGGCGAAACCTTGGGCAAGTTTCCTTACTCCACACAGAGCCTAATAATAATCCCTCCAAAAAAACAAAACAATAATAAATTGGTCATTTTCAATCTACGACTGTTTGTGGGACATTGCTGTGCGCAATTGGCTGCTGCGTTCGCCCACAAATATACAGTCAATTCACTTTACAGTATATTCTGTGAAGCGCTTTGGGACGTCTAGAAGACGTGAAAAGCGCTATATCAAATGCAAGGATTATTATTATTATATTATTATTAAAACATTCCAGAGGAGAAGATTTTTTTTATTGGTGAGCGAGGTTAGGCCTGCTCAACCCCATTAACCGAATTAGACCGAAACGTTCCATTTAGCGAATGAGGATTATCCCCGCAAACAAACCCCAATCCCCCAGCCCCCAAATTCCTCTAGGCCCCAAATTGTCAAAGGACATTGCAGACATGACCAAGTGAGTTAAGTTGTCAATGGGGGTTTGACAACATGAATTGCAAGTAATTCATAAGTGGTATCAATGTACAATGTGGGCAATTTAATTCCTTTATTCCAGCCCAATTCCTCTGAACTCTGGGCAATACACCTATCGATATGACAGAGCTGTCAAAATAAAGATGCTCTTGAATAATATATCTAAGCAATAAGGTTGAGTAAAAGCACAGAATGCTCCAGGTAGCGATCCCTGCAGAGGATATTTAAGCAGCTACTTAAAGACCAACTTGTAAAGTGCCTGTAAATCTTGTGGAGTTGGCCCTGCTCTCACTGAATGCTTCCTATCACTTAACGCAGAAAACATATAACCAGCCATTTGGCAAAGCTTTTGTTTAGAAGTAGCAGAGTTAGGAGTGTGTGTTCCACGAGATTGAAAAAGAAATTGGCAAACAATATTAAAAGATGCTTCTGTCAACATAATTGGTTAAAGCAGCCTGAGCACACACATAATATTTCAGTCAAGTATAGGTTAGTGGATGATAAAAACTGCATTATTGGGAAATAAATCAAAGCTTCGCAGAGAACGGATAAATGCACACAACTCACTGCATCTCAAACCCCACAATTCTAGTCCACGTGTACAAACTCAGGTCCAAAACCAGCGGTGGCCAACCCTTGGCCTGTGGGGCTGTTAGGGAGTAACCCGCCCCACTCTCCCCGAACATTCCCACCACTCCAGGCAAATCTCTGTAGCACACTGCTCCCCACTGAGGCAGAAGGTTACGGGCTCAAGCCCCACATCAGGACTTTGAACTCAGTCTAGGCTGACACTCAAATATAGCAGTGGGGATATAAATAAACTATCTGTGCCTGGTTCAGATGGTCATTAAAGATTCATCGGCACTGTTTAAAAAGAGAATGTCCTAGCCACCAATCTCCCTGATAAAATTAGCTGATTCACTTCATGGCTGTTTGTGGGACTTTGTTGTGCACATTTTGCACACTACTTTGTCTACAAAATCATATTCATTACACTTTACAGTAAAAATCCCATGAAGCACTTTGCGAAAGGTACTCTCAAGTGCAAGGATTATTGTTGTTATATCCATGGCACTATGTTCTGTTACTTTCCTGAATCCCACTGTTGTTGCATTGTTGCTGTACCCATCAATATTTCAACATCTCAACCATCTGCTCCTTAAATTCTTGAACCAATTTTGCACCTATTGTTGCTTTATGGAACGTTACCAAATTCTATACTCTCTGAGGGAAATAAATAATCCTTGTATTTGATTTAGCCATTTCACATTGGGAGATTGCCCCTATGATCTTTACAGGATAGTCTGTAATGTGCAGTGACTGGTGTATTTTGCAGACAAACGCTATGAAAAGATTATTCACTCTTACCTTAGCACTAACCCATTTCTTCTAGTAATTATAATAATAACCTTGCATTTGATATAGAGCCTTATCATGTCGTTGAGATGTCTCAAAGCCCTTCATAGGATATACTGTAGAATGGAGTGACTGGGTATTTTGTGGGTGAAATGCAGCAGCCAGTTTTGCGCACAGCAATGTTCCACGAACAGCCATGGAGTGAGTGACCAAATTATATAAAGAGATACTTCAAGATGTCTGTTAGCCCATCATTAACTACATCAATCCTCTGTAGCTGTCCACATCTATAAACTACTTTGTAGTGCTCATCTTTGATTCATTAAGCGGCCTTGAACTTCCATTTAATACATATTCAACCGTTATTTTTACAGCCACGATGCAATACCTCACACTGAATTGTATCTGCCATACTTCCATTCACTCACCAAATCTGTCAATGTCTGCCTGCATACTTCTGCACTGTTCTTCACAGTTTACACACAGTTCAGTGGCAGCTTCAGTGCTGGATACCTCTAGAGACCCAAGTCAAAACTGTTGATTTATATGGTGAACAGCTGCAGACCCTAGCCTGGTATAAGGTCCCAACTCATTTTATGCCTGTAACTAGATAAGCCAAGGCAAGAAATCATGATTCTGAAAGGCAATTTTAGGACAGACACCTGGTAATATTTCTTCATACAACTGGTACAGGTTACCAGGAAGGGCAGTGGAAACCAGAACACTGGACTCATTTAAACTTGCTAATGTAGAAGTGCAGTGAAAACTGTGAAGAACAGTGCGGAAGTTTTCAAGCAGACACTGACAGATCAGATAAGTGGAAAAAAGTATTTATTTTTGTTAGCCGGGTGTCTGACATGGACTGAAACCCATCACCATGCTCTTAAACTCTTGGTATCCATGTATCCAACCAAGCTGAGACTTCCATGCATCCCACCAACACATGGAAATCCCAGAGAAAGATTGTTGGAATGGAATACACATTCTCTCCCTGAAAAGATGCATCCTGCTACCTAATTCTAGAAAGTATTAGGTACAGGCTAGCAAGAGCCAAGTCTTGGAGATCCTAGAATGTGTGTTGGGGTAACTGCTGGAGTCTAACCAGCTAAAACCGCATAGCTTGCCATTGATGTTGCTGTCTGACAAGCTTTCCCGCTGCTTGTCCAGCTAGGACCACCCTACCCGTTTGGCTTGCAGCTGTTATCAGCAGTACCCTGGAATGTTGTGAACCCACCTGGCTCAGGCGCCGGACTACCGAGACTGCCACAGAGGGCTGATTCCGACATTCCATTATCAGGCATGTCACCGTTGAGCCAGTTCAGTTCCAAAGCGACCCCGCTTATCTCCCCCCCACCCACCCATAGGAGGATAGAACAGAATGGACGGACGTACGGCAGGTGCAATTCAATGTAGTCAAATGGAAGGTATTGCATTTTGACTGTAAAAATAGTAAAATTGGGCACTCACTTCATTGCTGTTTGAGGGACATCACTGTGCACAAATTGGCTGCCACATTCACCAATACGCAGTCATCCACCCTTTACAGTACATTGTAGTGAAGCACTTTGAAATGTCTCGACTTTGTGATGAGGTGTATCTCAAAAGCGAGAATTATCATTATGGGATGAGAGTATGATTGTATTCCGAAGGATCAAAAAGCCTTTGTTATCATTATCTTCTTTTTGCTGTTCTTGAGCTACACTGGAACCTGTTATAACACCCTTCATTATTGAGTGTGGATCCCAACATTTGTTACCAAGGTTCTACTGTACTTCTCACTTGGCTGGTCTTCATCTGTACCTCTCTTTTGATCTTAAATAAAAACAGGTGTAAACTCAGAGGTTACAGAGCAGGAGCAGATCACACATTATTAGGGAAATGCAGTATTTACAGGGCAACTCTCAACAAAGTGAATGAATGTCAGAAAATGTCCACTTGAGAAATCTCTCTGGTGATGCTGTGCTGGGCCAAGAATCTTTAACAGCAATCATTTCAGTAAATCCTCTCAAGCACTTTGATATGTGATAAGGTGTTATATCAAATGCAAGGATCTCTGTCTCCTGTTGCCTCTGTTGTTTTCTCTTTCTGTCTCTGATTCTCTCTCTGAGTCTCTCTTTCTCTCTCTCCCTCTGACTTTCTGGCTCTCTGTCACTTAGTCTATTACTTTATCGCTATATTTTTCTTTAACTCTAACCTATAGTGTGCATTGCTAAATACATGCTTACCTTCACAATCCCCCAGATAAAATTGATCATTCAGTTTATGGCTGTTTGTGGGACTGTGCGGAAATTGGCTGCTGCGTTCACCTATAAATGCACAGACTTCATAGTAAGTTCTGTGAAGTGCTTTGAGATATACCCTGGAGCACTGTGGACCCTTCTGGGTCAGGAACCAAATTTCCAATCAGAGGATTGACTTGATTCTGACATTCCATTAACAAGCACATCACCTTGGAGCCAACTCAGCTCTGAGGAGACCTTTCTTTCCTACCTTGCCCTCCCCCCAAGAGATAAGTCACTAGTTGGCCAATTGACATCTGACAAGCACAGAAAGTGAGCTTTCTGGTGAGCAGCACAGCTCAGCATCAAACCACAGGAATAGTAGGATAGTCCACCAGGATATGGCAGACATGTATCACAGTGGGCAGGTACAACAGAACCCCTTAAAGCCATTGGTCTGACAGTCATTCAAACACTTCCTCTCACCCTCCTTAGAAATACTTTTTATCATCCCAGACATTGCTAATCTGCTTCAGTAATAAATCCAGTGCTGTTAACCTCCCAAATACTCTACCCTGGCATCTCATCACTACATTGAGTGATCAGTGAGATTGCAATCCAAGAATTACCATCTCTAAATTAACCAAGTTCTATTTATTTAGCAGTTTCGCCCACAAAATAAACAGTCAATTCATTTTACAGTATATTCTGTGAAGCCCTTTGCGACGTCTCCAAGATGTGATAATGCGCTATATCAAAAGCAATTATATTAATTAATTATTACTTTTATTATGATAAGAATCTGTAACCTCAGAAGGTGGACCAGGAATGTGAGTGGAACATGAGGTGTCGACAGAAAAATATTTCTTCACCTGCCCAGACACGTTTGATAAAGGTGATGTGATGATCACATTCAGGGCGTTATACAGGACCTCCTGCTCAAAGGACCGCCTGCAAGTCTGCCTCAGAGTTTCTTTTGGTCAGCTAGGTGTCTGACACATGTGGAAACCCATCACCATGGTTAAGAGTATCTAAAACAAACAGTTTCACAAATGTGTATTATCCACGCATGGAATTTCTTTGCAATGGAGTGTATGCCGTCTCCCTGGAGAGATATTCCCTGTTTACCCAATTCCAGAGGGTTTTACATGCAGGTTGGTGAAAGCCAAAGCTTGGGGACTCCGGAGTGTGAGCTTGAGCTGTGGTTTAACTGGCCGAAACCTCATACCTTGCCATTGGGACTTTGGCTTGCAGGGTTAGCAGGAGCTGAGTGGGTAGAATCCCTGTCGCCAGTGATCGGTCGGTCTATCCCTCCAAGTTCTGTCGACAAGCTAGGCTTGCTAGGTTGTCATCAGCAGTGCCCTGGTGTACTGCGGAACCACTTGACTCAAGAAAAGGACTCAAGAGACTGCTACAGAGGATTGCATTGATTCTAACATACTATTGCCAAGCACATCACCTTGTACCCAACTCAACTCCAAGGAAACCACACTTACTTTCCCCCCACCCCTCCTCCCCTATAGATCATCAGTTGATCATTTGAGATTTGACAAGCGTAGGTTGCAGCGATTATGAGGTGGTTAACAGTACTGGGAACTTCCTGCTGACCTCTTAGTGAGCAGCACAGCTCAGCATGAAATGAGTCACCATCCTCCTGCCCACAGTTCGGACACACATTCCTATCCATTGAGCGATGGTTCAACCAGTTGGAGGTGCGGAGCTTGTGCTTAACTCTCTACATACCAATCAAGGTAGATTTCCAACCCTGCATATATGAGGGTGTGTTCACAAACCCCCGACTCCAGGTAATGTCCCAAGCCTCATCCCTCTTCGATGAACATGTACCTGCAGCATTTTGGGAAGATATAAACAAGGCAGCCTACAGCCTCAGAATATTCAGTAGGAGACATTCATAGAGAACAATGAACTTGAGCTGACAGTAAACAAAGTTACTGGAGTAAGGAAACTTGCCTAAGATTTTACCCTGTCCAGGAATCGAACCCGGGTCCTCTCGCTCATGCTAACCACTATTCTATGGGGGTGAGCTGATCTTAGCAAGGTAAGCAATTGAGACACTGGAATTCGCTCTAAAAATTCTGAGTTACTCCTGCGAAGAGAACACTATTCAGCTTTCCTGCTCCTGATCACTATCCAGAGAGCCCTGTGGATGTGGTTATTGGGAGAGGATGGGCAGTTGAATGAGTGATAACAATAGTCTGTCCAGGATCACATGTAAAGAAAAGCCTCTTGACTGAGGTACCAGTAAAGCTCCTGGAACTCATTGAAATGAACCCCAAAAAGAGGATAAGCTTCTTAGGCAGGAGAGCAGAAAAACAGTCAGGCCTTAAAGCAACACAAGTGCAGGAAATGAATGCTGAAAAAATACTTGGAAGCGTCCCAGTGGTGTGTTTATACCATGGCATGGCTCTATTCCAGGTTCAAGGTTTGTAGCTTTTTTCATCTTTTGAAGGTTGATTTGATCTCTCTTTGCGTGGTTTCTCTCCATAAGAACAAAAATAACACGAGACAATCTCCTTCAGCCCTTGCCCATTTTCATCAGACCTTTTCATCATGTGTGAAAAGATTCTTTATCTCCTGACCCCTGACTGTCCAGCGCCTTGGGATGTCCTCCCGACCTGAAAGGCGATCTATAAATTTAATTTTGTTTTTGTTGTTGTTGTTTACACCTCAAATATATTCAAGGTTCCTGTTGCCGCAAATATACAAGGTCAAGGAGACCGGATGTTGCAGTGTTAGCAAGCCTTTGAACTCTGGAACCCTGGGCTGGATTCCAGCACAGCCTGATAGACAATATCGGCGAATCCTCTTGCTGACTGCAAAGGACTTGCACACAATGATTTTGAGGTCGTGTCAAACTGCTTCCTTGAGATTTATTACTGATATATTTTTTGAGGAGGGCTAAGCAGGCTTCCCACGTCTCAAGCCTTTGTATATGCCCTGAGCTCTGTGGCTGCGTTCCTTTTAAAGTTCACATCTGGCCTGTAAGGTAAGCATCAGTCACCAGAGAGCGCGATGGAGACTGAGATAACGCATGCAATCCAGTGAGTAATTTTTTCTCTCAAGACCACAATATTAGAACGTTAGCCACTTCCTGCTTTGATCTTGACTTCTCCAGAAATTAAAATACAGCTCACTGATGACTGTGGGAACACGTTTATCTGTCAGCGATTTTACCGAGAGCTTTGGTTCGGGTACCGGAAACAAGGCTGCTGCCAGAAAGTACTGTACAAAGATCCAGTGTTGAGTCCGAGTCCTGTTTACTGCTCAACTTTTAGCATTCCAGTGGTATGTTGACCACACCTTGAATGGTCATAACCAGGACCCTATGGAGAACAGTTCCTTCTTCTCAATTTACATTACAGTCTACTTGCGCCATAAGGTGGACAGGTGCCTGTGCTGCAGCCTCAGAGAAAGCTCTGGTCAGATATGGTGAACATCCTGGATGCCACATGTAAACCTGTCTGCCTGCACTTCAAGTAGATAATAATGTCTACCCGCCCCTTTCCTTCACAAGATAAAAACTCTCCAGAACTCGGCAACCCGTGTCCTTTTCGCACTAGGCTCCACGAGCCTATCACCCCTATCCTCACCCAGCTTCACTGGCTCCCCATCGCCCAGCGGATAGAGTTCAAGATCCTTATCCTAACCTTTAAATTCCCCCATCATCTTGCCCCACTTACCACCTCCTCAAACCCTACTAAACATGCCACTCCCTCTGCTCACCGGGCATTGGCCTGTTTATATCCCCCGCCCTCAGCCCCCCCACCACATTGGCAATTGAACTTTCTGCCTATCTGCCCCCATGCTCTGAAACTCCATCTCTGCGACTCGTGCCTTCTCTCGCCTCCTATAAGGTTCACCTCAAGACCTTCCTCCTCGATTTCGCTTTTGGCTTTATTTCTCACCCCAGCTTCTTAGCCTCCAGACCCCAGCACTAGGTCACATGCAAACCCTGGACTGTTCAGCGCCTGGAAGCATCGTCCTGACATATACTTGTTATTTGTAATACAGAGTCTGTGATACTATTCCTTACATTTGATATAGCACCTTATCACGTCTTCGAGGCATCTCAAAGCGTTTCACAGTATATACTGTAAAGTCCATTGACTGTTATCTTTTGTGGGAGAAACACAACAGCCAGTTGCACACAACAATGTCCCACAAACAACCATGGAGTGAGTGACCAATTTTATTTGGGGGATTGTTGACCCGACACTAGGAGAAGAGAAATTCTCTTCTTTTTTGAATAGTGTCATGGGATCTTTAACATCCTCCTGAACAGACAGACGGGATCTCCGTTTAACGTCTCATCCGAAGGACAGCACCTCCGACAATACTATCAACACTGCAATGGAGTGCTCCCAACGTGGGGCTTGAATCCACCTTCTGACTCAGAGGCAAGAGTGCTACCACTGAGCTATTATTAATATGACACTATTCAAAAAGAGGATGGGAATTTCTCCCAGTGTTTTGACCACAGTCCTCTGGATAAATTGTTTATCTGCCTCATGACTGTTTCGGGGATTTTGCTGATTGTTTGCCTTAAAAAAAAGTCACTTCACTTGACAATAATTATTGTGAGGCATTTGGGGACGTCGCAACACAATTAAGTGTTATAAAAATGCAAGATCTTTCTTCCTTCTTCAAAGTGAAGTTTATTTTATTAGTACTGGATAAATTCCAAGTTGAGCCTCAAGTTTTTTTCCAGAGGGAATGTCCAGACAATTTAGATTTAATTTCTTTACACAGTGAGTGGTGAACAGAAATGTGGAAGTCTATAGCTCAGAAACAGGCCTTTTGGCCCATCGGATATTTTTTTCACATCAGCCAACCTATTCCCATTCTCCTCCTCACTGTCCATATCCATTGATTTCTCTTTTTCAAGAATCTAACCACTTTTTTAAGCTTACAAAATACACTGTCACTATAGTCTACAGTATATTTTTTGAAGCACTTTTAACAACCTGATAAGACTCCGTATCATACATATGGATTATTATTTTACAAGACTTCACTTGTGGCATTCTACTTTCGTGCTATCAAATCCTTGACTGTCCAGCGCCACGGGACGTCCTCCCGACGTGAGGGGTGCCATACACATGTAAGTTGCTGAGCGCTGCTGTACTCTTGCCCCACTTACCTGATGTGTGTGGCTGGTAGGGATTCCAACTGGCGCGACAGGAACAGCTCGCGATGCTTCAGCTGGTGTCGCTCTTTCTCTGACAGCTCCTGCAGTTCTGAGTTCTCCATTTCTTCCTCCAATTCCACTGTAGAAAGGATAGAGATTGTAGATTAGTCCATCAATTAATGTTACTTCATAAATAGTATAACCTAAGTGAATAAATCCACAGATTTATTAAATATCTGATATCTTATTTTCTCCTTTAAAATGTGCTAGTGTCAAAGTCATTTCCCCGGGTTGAGGCTACTTGCTGCCTCAAGTAGCCTCAACCCGTCACAAAGAAAGTGTCTGAGCGCAAGCCGGGTGAAATACCATCTGATTTTTTGTCCTTCCCACTGACAAAGAAATCAGTTTGGGTTTCCAATTCTCTTTGGGAAAATGATGCACTTTTTCTCAGAGCATCAAGTCTGGAAACCAAGCAAGTTTGTTGAATCAACGCTCCGTTAATTGAAAGTTTCCATGTGCCGCACTTTTGTGAGAGTTCGTCAGATTTAGACGTATCACACAGAGGAGTGCATGACTGTTTGCCCTGCTGAAAAGTTAAATAACAGAAGCAGTATGCCGCTATCACCCTGGGGTGAAGGGTCAGAAGGTAAATTCGCCTTTACAGTATATCCTGTGAAGAGCTTTGAGACATCTCACCGACATGATAAGGCATCAATTGCGAGAATTATTATGATAATGAATAATGGGGGTCACAAACTGATTAGTAACCAGATTATTGCATGAAGCTGGATGTGATGGAGGCTGACCCATTGGAACTGCGTTCTGACGTCGATCTCCATTTGACGTCTGTGAAGCCAGATCACAGCCAATGCTGCCAACAAATTTGCAGGAATTGCTAGATACAAATCTATTCCTAACGGCCACAAATTAAATTCCTGGGCAATCAATGGTAGCACAGCACCACAGCCTCTTGGCTGCCACTCAAGCACTAGCTCCTCCATGTCGGTACACAATACTGGAGTGGTGCTGTGAACAATGAAATCCCACCCCACCCTGCTTGACTGATCCTATCTGACTGCATCCGGATCTGAAACTGATCTTACAATGTGGATAACGCTACAAATGGAACACTCAACTTCTACTTTGTGACTTCTGCCAAAGATCTTTCTGGTGCTATTATCACAATCTCCAACTTCCAGAGTTTCTGAATGGAACTGGAATATAGGAATGAATATATATTACTAGTTTTCTATATGTCTCAGTGTCTTCAGACGTTCTCCCGACATGAAAGGAGCTATACAAATGTAATTTTGTTGTTGTCTTAAAAATGCTTCACAGAATATACCGTATATTTGTGGGCAAAAGGTGGCAGCCAATTGCGCACAGCAGTGTCCCACAAACAGTTGTGGATTGAGTGACCAAATTATTATTGTTGTTTTTTTTAAGGATTATTATGCCCGGAAAAACGATCCGCCAATCGACTGACAACTGGGTTCCTACTTACTGCTAGGTAAGTAGCACTTACTGCTACTCCCACCCTCGCTCGCCTCCACTGGCTCCCCATCCCCCAGAGGATTGATTTCAAGATCCTCATCCTCACCTACAAGGCCATTCACGGCCTTGCTCCCTCCTACCTCTCCAACCTACTATCCCCCTACCTACCTGCCCGTACCCTCCGTTCCTCTGGCTCCGGTCTGCTCCACGTCCCCCGCCCCAACCGCCCTACCATCGGTGGTCGGGCCTTCAGCCTCTCAGCCCCCAGGCTCTGGAACTCCATCCCCCAGTGCCTTCGCCACCTCCTCCCTTTCCTCCTTCAAGGCCGGTCTCAAAACTTTTCTCTTTGACCGTGCCTTCAGCTCCCCTCTCGACTCTCTTCCCCCTCCTCGCTCCCTCCCTTCCCTCCCCTCACCCTAACCATTTCCCCCCTGCTCGGGTCATGACCCAACTGTGCAGCGCCTTGGGACGTCCTCCTGACGTGAAAGGCGCTTTATAAATGGAATCTTGTTGTTGTTGTTGTTGTAGGTAAACAAAGGAGTGAGGAAACTTGCCCAACATTTCGCCCTTTCAGGAATCGAACCTAGATCTCTCACTTGCGAGGCGAGTGCTCTAACCACTGAGCTACAAGACTCCTTCCTATGTGCCAACCACAAGAAACTTCACATCACTGAAATATATTATAATCCTAAACACAAAATCCAAGACTTTAATGAACACAGCAGCTTCTGAAGAAGAGCAATCTGAATAAAATTAACAGTTTTAAATAATTTGGTGAGCCACATAAACCAAGAAACTAACCGGGAAAACGTTTAATGGGATTGAGCGAGTAAACTTGAATTAATACTTTCAAGGATGCAGGCAGTGGGACAAGAGAGTAAAGGTTTAGGATCAGAGACTACGGATTTGGGATCAGGGGCACAGATTCAAGCTTGCAATGTTTAGCACAGATCCCCAGAAAGTAGATTATTTCTTTACACACAGGAGAATCAACAGATGGAACCAGTTAGCAAGAAGGGTAGTTGAGGCCAGCACACTGGAGTCACTTAAGCACCAGTTTGATGCTGTATTGGAAAGATAATGAGACTATAATGAGACTAGGACATAGAATTTAGATAGCTGAATGTATTTTTCCTCCACAAAGTTTGAGTTCAACAAAAACTTCAATCTTGTAAATTCATTGCAACTATTGATTCGAGTAAAATTTGTGTGAGCGGGGGAGGAGAACAGCTAGTTTTGTCACTACCACTGCTGTTGGAAAGGACACAACAGCACACAATGTGTATTCGGCTATAGGCTAAATCTTATCAGTCCTGTAATTGTCTATCTGGGCTCACCTTTTCGGAATTTGACGCATACAGGCAGTTAACCATCAAAAGCATTCAGTTCGTACCTGCCTGGCTTTGTCTCCTCAGTGTCAAACCCATCTCTTACCGAGTACACTCTATTTTAGTTTCGACAAATTCAACATAAGGTCTTGGATGACTGCAGAGATGGAGTCAAAACCTTTCTCAAAGAAAGTTTGGAGAAGTGACATCTCCCATTGTTCACAGAAATGATCCTGATCCTGAAGTCATCTAACTGGCTCCAGAGTACGGAGGCAAGATGTCAGACATTCCACTCTGATGTACTGTTGGCTACTTCAATGTTGCCCTATGCCAAACTACTGAGGAGCCGAACACACTAGAGGACTGTCGAGGGCCAGCAGTGTGCAGTTATCCATGGTGTCAAAGTGCTACCATGCTGTGTGCGTTCTTCCAGTTTTATTAACCTTATTACCTGCTTTCTATTATTGTATAGCTAGTACAGGGGTGATAATAGATGCCTAGGTTGTGAAACTTTACTAATTGCTGGAGAAGGTTTTGCAAGCCCTGGAGACCCTGGCGTCTGCTCACAGTCCTCTAAGTCAGGAACATGACTCAACTTGTGTTGTTCTGGGAACAGCCCCAACCTGTACTTGATTCACTGTTTGATCTGGAGGTGAGGGGGGAGGGAGAACTTTGCTTTCTTTTTGACGCACAAGCAGCAAAGACTTCATACACACACACACACACACACACAACATTGAGATGCCCTGTAACACCCTTCTAATCAAATTCAATCATTATATGATTAAATAGCAACAGATTATTTCAACCAGTCTGCGAGTTAGTAAAGAGAGGGACCAAACTTAAGATAATAAGAAATAGAAATAATGAGGAGGTTAGAATGACTTTCGGCATACAGAGGATCGTGGAATGTAGAATTCTCTGCTAAAAACCAAAGTTGGAACAGAGTCCATCAATTCAAACAGTTTGGATAATAAGAATAATAATCATTGCATTTGATATAGCTCCTTATCGTGTCTTCTAAACATCTCAAAGCGCTTCGCAGAATATACTGTAAAGTGAATTGACTGTATATTTTGTGGGAGAAACGCAGCAGCCAATTGCGCACAGCAGCGTCCCACAAACAGTTGTGGATTGAAGTGACCAATTTATTATTATTTTTGATGCTTCGAGGAGGCATATTAAATGTGTGGGAGGGTAGAGATTGTATCCGGTGGCCCATGTGGAGAAAAACAATAGTGTAGACTCAATGGCCTAAATGACCCATTTCTGTGGATAGCATTCTTAAAAATTAAAATAATTACAATTTCGCCACAAAATACAGTCAATCCATTTCACAGTATATTGTGTGAAGTGTTTTAAGACATCGCAACGACGTGATGAAGTGCTATATCAAAGGCAAGAATTCTTCTTCTATGATTTGAAATAGTAGGATGGACATGAAACCAAGGTCCCGTCCCGTCCTGCTGTTCAGGTAGATGAACATTAAAAAATTCCATGGCACTATTTGAAAAGAGAAGGGAGTTTCTCCCAGTGTTCTGGCCAACGTTTCCCAAATAAATTTGGTGATTCACTTTATGGCTGTTTGCAGACATTGTTTGTGCAAAAATTGGTTATCTTAGTGGCCTACAAAATACACAGTCACTACACTTTATTAGCTTGTGAAGTGCTTTGAGACTTCCTCCCGAGTGAAAGACGCTGCATCAAATAACAAGGATGGTTATTATTTCGTGTTCTAAGAACCCTGTATGAAAAAAAGAATTCTTCCAAACTCTCCGTAGCTTTTCCTGTGATAACCCTTGGCTCATGCCACCTGGTTACCAAGTTAGAGAAGGCAGCCAAGATTTTACAATGAGAGCTTGACAGCATATGTATCTGAAACGATCATAGCAAAGGAAGATAATCGCAAGGTTCTAAGCATAGGAAGTAAAAATAGAAAGTGCATGCATCCCATAGATGGGATAGAACTTGCCAAGGGGGAACTTTAGAGACCGAGGAAAACAAGCTGACTTGGTGCTCACTATGTCCCAGTAGAGCAGGGCAAAAATAAATAAATAAGCTGTGCTTTATTGCAGAATCAGAAGTAGGCTTGGGCTCTCATTTGAGATCACTAGTGCCCAGGTGACAGGGCAGATGTGTTGGTTGAAACAGAATCGGGCTTGGTGAAAAGATGTAAAACAAGCAAAGTGAGGAGCGGGAATCAGTGCAGCAGTCCATCCATTCAACCACTGTGTGAAGTTGTACACAAACAGCTGAAACCTCTACACAGAGCACATCTAACAATATAAAACTCTTTCCCCAGCTTGATGATCATGGG